AAGCTAAAGCACATCTTTGAGAAGGAAACCCCATCTCACTTTAAACAGCAACAAGACAGCAACAGCAAAACCACTACAGTGCTTTAATGCCCTCATGGCTACTTACTATTTCAAGGAACAACATACCTAACTTCATCTCTCAGACACTGGATGGTCAAGTAAATATCATGTATTTTCCCTGCACATGTGTATGATATATACAGGCATCATTTCCTCTCTCAGATGTACAGTCTAAAATTGTGAAGACTGGTCTCCAAACCCTGGATCACTTCTGTCACTTTACTCTTACTAATATTTCACATCCTTCCTCACGTGAGAACAGCAGAACCAGACATGGAATTCCTGTGATCTTACTAATGCCACGTACTTTCCTACTTCTGTGCAATATTTATATTGCTATACAGCCAAAGACCACACTGCAGTTGCAGCACTGCAATGAAAACTCCTGTTGAGACGATTCTCTGCACAAATTCTTAAGTCTTCTTTCAAATTACCAGTTTGAACACAGTTGACTATCCTGCTGGTGTTACCACAGTCCCGGTTCCTTTGCATGTGGCTGTATGAAAAATGCCTTCTGATGGATACTGAACATTTAAAAAAATTATTTGGAGTACAGGGTGCTAATAACTTGCTCCACATGTGCACAAACCTGTATGTAATGTACTGGTAACAATGTGGTATCATCACAAAAGCTGTGAATATATTGATATTAACCAGCCTTACACCAAGATCCAGCCCCCAGGGAACCCTACAAGAAACAGCTGCACTCCCATAGAAAAAAGGCACGCCTAAGTTCCTCTCTAAACTAAGAAAGATTTATGAAGCAACTCTGCCAATGTTTGTGGTATTTATTCCACAGTGACTCCATGGCACAATTGTTTTAAGCTCACACTTCACTGCAGAGTTAATAGATATATCAGGGACACAATATAGGGTGAGTCTGCTACAATAGAACAGTTGATGAATAGCTTAGGAATTTGGGAGATGTGGTTTTCTACAATTCAAAACACTGGGAAGCAATTTGCTCTAGTTCTACCGTAAACTGGTCTTTAACAATCGTTAAGTCATTTTGAAAGATTCAGAATGAGTAAGCCCCGGCTTGTCATTTATTTCAGAGGCTCCATTTTAAAGTTTTCAATTTTTCAGCCAGGAAAACAACAATGAATAATGTGAGTAAGGAAAAGCATTCATACCATTAACCAAAGAGGTTTAGGTTCCATTCTCTAGTAAAAAAAAAAAAAAAAAATCAGAATCAACTGGCTGACAGTTAATGGACCAGGTAACCTATCAAATAATACTGTAATTCAGCAGTGTATTTCCATGTACATAAACATACACACAGTATTGGTGAAGCTCGTAGCATCGCCTATTAGGCAGCTGCTGAACACTTCCAATGCAATATGCTGCTTCCAGCTGCTTGTAACTTGGCCAGACTTTGACTGTTTGGCTTGAAATTTTCCAAGCTGAATGTCTGCCTCAGGCTAAATTTTGTTCCATGTGCCGTAGAGGCTACCTCTGAGTGAGGGGTGCAGAAAGAGGCAGACCGTGATTACAAGAACGCAGCTGAAACACCTGAGCTGTTTTCACAACAAGGACAGGGAAAACGCTATATGTTCAATGTATCTCTGGCAAAGTCTAAAAGCTGTAGAACCTAGGAAATTACAGAACGCAGTATTAAAAACGTGACAAATATTGGAGAATTTAGGAATTATTAGAATTAAGTGGTCTAGGTAACTAAAAATGTCTCCTAGTGCTAATACACGTGGAGATCAATCTCTAATTGCAACTGACCTGGTCACCTTTTCTTCCCCACTGAGGCTTTGCGATAATTAACAGACAAATTCCTCTTTCTGCCCTTGTTCTCTAGAGCATCACCACACACTTTAAATCCCAGAGGAAATTATTTCTTTTCTCTCAGGTTCTTTTATGGTTCTCATAACTACAGTGATCTGTAAGATAAAGGATACTGCTATCCACGTTTTTTTAATATGGGAAATTAAGATACAAAAAGATTAAAGCAAAAAGTTATAGACATTGAGTGAGCAATTCTGACACTCAAAACTTGTATTTTAAACACGCTCAGACCTATAAACATCTTCTATATGTCAAGAGCACACAACTGCTCACTTCTGTTCCAGATGGATAAGTTCAGCATAACTGTGAAGCATATCTCAGGGACTTAGGCCAGGCTCTGAGAAAATCCAACAGCACACGGGCGAAAACCTTTATATTGAAATCCTTTGGCAAAGGCAGGGGTGCCAAAATCCAATTCTCCAGCTGTCTCAGGCATGACGCTGCATCTCCCTCTGCATATAATTGTTTGCCTCATTTATGTTACCTGTTCTCACTGCTGCCCAGCCAGAGAGCTGCTACATCTTGGGGGTCCACCTCTGGTTCATCACCCAAGGCAGGCATGAAGGACGTGGCATATCCCATCACGACCAGCACCATCATCGCGCACAGGCCCGTGGCAGCCAGATGAGCCTGGCACTTTCACAACTCCTGAGCACTTTCCTTTGCAAACTTAACACCGACGGGGTAGGGATGGGCAGGGCAGAGAGGTAATAAATGTATAGAACAGTGTAAAGAGGTCAGCGACATCCACTGGGTGGCAGACATGTTTCACGGGATCCAGAGACATACATATATATAATGGCCAGTCTTCGCGAGCGAAGATCCGGGGAAGGTCTTTCCACCTTCCAGCCTGCGCATTGGATTTTTTAGGTGAGACACAGTGTGCGCGGAACTGAGCCCACCCTTTAATCCTAAGGTTCATCTGCCGGGGCCAAGCGAGCTTGGACGGTGGCAGCGAGGTCCTTAGGACGTAGGTGGGTTGCCTTTAAGGGCTAACGAGCCCCACCTGCCCGGGAGTGGCCCTGACCGGGAATCGAACCCGGGTCTCCGCGGTGATAGCGCCGCGCCTTTACCACTAGACCACCAGGGGCCTCGATATATATACATATATACAGAGGTATACAAACGAAAGCTCCTAAATACTGGGTTTGTTCCCTGTCTCAGAAGCAGTAACTGAACAGGCACGGTTAAAAAAAAAAAAAAAAAAAAAATCCGACGGTGAAAGGTGTTATTCAGCTTCTTGTCCACAGTGCTGAGACATTGGAACTGTTCTGGCACTCGAGGGTCAGGGTTGTGCAGAGTCACAGTGCCCCACATCCCTTCTGTAGGTGGGTGCCCTTGTGCAAGGCAACAGGAGCCTTGTGAGTCTTCAGAGTCTCTGCTGCCCTAATTAATGAGTAATGCCTACTGAGGCCAAGCCTCTCAACTCTTCCTCAGTTTAACAAACTCGGGGAGGGGGGAGGAATTGTTTTGGACTAACAGCTGTAAATGTGTCCATGTGTGTAAGCAGCTAAGTTTTATAGTTCAAAGACACATTAAAAGCTAGTATTTTCCCTGTATTTCCACTCAGCATCTAAACAGAACCATTTCAAAAGTTGCTTAGATGTTTCTGCAGAAGAGGCTGTCAACCAAATTTCAACCCAGTGCATATTTTTATAACCAAGTTGTAAACTACATAAAAATTACACTTATAATGGAAATGCTGACAAATGCATAACTCCTGCAGCTAGCTATGACAGTCTGACCACAAGCCCTCCTTCAAGAAAAAGCAACATTACCTCCCTTCCTCCTTTCCTAAGCAGCTCCACAGCAAGCTCGGGTGGAGGGTGGTATGTACAGGTATCTCTGCCTTATCCTTGTACTATGGATCGAGGCAACTCCCTACTCCCCGTGTTTCCCACATGTTGAATGAGCCACCCCCTGTTTTTGCCATAAACAACCGGAGGGCCTCTTACAGCCATGACTCACTCCACAGGCTTCTCCTCCACCCCTGTGCGTGACTGTAGCAAACAGGCTGCCAGCTGCAGCCGGTGAATTAACAGGACTTTTTTCGCGGAACCGTGGGGAGATCAGTCACGCAGGGCGGGGGGGCGGAGGTGGTGGTGTGGAATACCAGCCCGGGGTGAGTTGTATTTGTGGGGGAAGCAGCAGAGGAGGCGACCCGGGTTTAGCGTCCCGGGGACGCCCGTGCGCGACCGTGTCCTCCCCGTCCCCCCCGCGCCCGGGACGACGCCCCTTGGCTCCCCGCCCCCACCGCGGATGCCCCCCGACGGCCGGGAGGGAGGGAGATCGGGCGGGGAGGCAGACAAGCAGGACGAGGAGGAGGGAGGGAGGGCAGGGCGGCGGCGCCGGGGGCAGCGGGGAGAAGGGGGAGGCGAAGCCGTCACGCAGCGACATCCCTCCCCAGACACGCGCCGCACAACTCCCAGAAAGTTGGCAGGGGCGTCCTGCGGGACGGGGCTCCGCCGGCCGCCACACAAGGGCGCGCACCGCAACCCGGCCGGGGCCCGCCGCCTCCCCAGCCCCTCCGCACCCCATCACGGCCCCTCTGCTCCCCACACCTCCCATCTCCCGCGGGCGCGCTGGGGCAGGGACAGCCCGGCACGGGGCGCTGCCGGCGGCGGGGCTCGAACCCGCGGCCCCCGGTGGCTCTCCCCGCCGCGGGGGAAGGGGCAGAGCGTCCCCGTCCCCCCCGCGCACGGGACTCGGGCGGCACTCACCGAGCGGCGGCAGCTCCCGCTCCCTGTCCGAGCGGCTCCCGCTGAGCGATCGCCCCTCCAGGGGTGAGGGAGGAGGAGCGGGCGAGGGCAGGAGGTGGGGAAGGGCGGGGGAGGAGAGCGCGGGTTGAGCCTTCCCGGCTCCCGTCGCCGCGCTCCCTCCCTCTGTCTGCCGGCACCGCCCATCCCGCCCGGCGGGCGCAGAGGAGCCGAGGGGAGCAGAGCGGAGCGGCGGCGCTGCCGGGGGAGCGGCGATGTGAGTGCCGGGGGCCGGGAGGGACCGGGCACAGCCCCCCCATCCTGCGTGCCGGGGCCGGGCCGGGCCGGGCCGGTGGCGGGGGCGGCGGGGCCGGGCCAGGCCGGGCCCCCGCAGGCCGTGTGGGGGCCGGGGGTGGTGGGGCTGTGGCGGTGCCCCGGCTGCGACCCGCGACCTCCACCCCGCTGAGAGAGGGGTTTCCTCGTCGCTCCGGTCCCTCTGCTCCCGGCCGACCCTCCTCGCTCTTCGAGTTGTTTGTTTTTGCTGCTCTTTCGTCCCCTTATCTCCCCGGCGCACGGCGGGGCACTCGGCGGCCCGCAGAGCCGGGCGGGCTGCGGGGAAGGGGGCCTGCGTCCCCCCGGCCCCACTCCGCCCCCCTACAGTCTATCCGTCTTCCTCCTCCTCTCTCCATCCCCCCTGCCCCCCTCTCTTCTACCTGACCTTTTTTCCTCCTTTTCCCCTGCACTCCGCTTCCTCCCCCTCTTTCCTCTATTCCCCCTGCAACTTCTCTCCTTCTCCTCTACCTCCCCTTTTCCCCCAGATCCCCCCACCTTTCAGCCTCCTTTGACGTTTCTGGTCCTGGGCGAATCGCGCGGAAGAAAAGCCTCTATACCTTGGTTTTTACCTGGCCGTCGCTACCTCCTTTAAGTCTTTAATTAGGAAACCCGAGCACGTATTGGCGGGGGGGGGTGTGTGGGGGGGTAGAAATCCAGATTGAGGTCTTTTATTAGGTGCGAATGGCACACGAATGCCATCTGCTCGTTTCTGTTACTTTTCAAGATATTCTAACTTCCCTGCTGAAAAAAAAAAAAACTGGTCAAAAATGTCTTCAGAGGTCTTTCTGTGGGGCAGTATTTGATGGTGATGTGTGTGAGGCTGTCTTGCAGACTGCTACTATGTACTGCAGTGTTCTTAATTTTAGATATTGCTAAAATTATACCTGAACAGTTTCTTGACCCAATTTATGTTGCTGTTTTTTTCCTCTCTTCTAATTCTTATCACATTCTTCCTGACATAGCCCGTATCTTTCTTTTGTATCTACAGCAGCAGACCTCTGGTCTCAGTAGATATCCCTGACTTCAGATATTTAACTTTTGATGGCTGACTGAGGCAGTTTGCTTTTAGGTTCCCTGTATAAGGAAGAAACATCCACCTAAGGAGTTGAGTTTGCTTCTCAAGAGCCTCTTTAGGATGGAAAGAATGATATTTTGGAGATTACAGTTTCTATCATTGAATTGGAGAAGTAAGGCAATGCTGTCTCAGTATTTAGACAACTGAAGTTAGAGGAGATGACCTAGAGAATTGGAGTTCCATACATGCAGAAGGCTGCCTTCCCTGATATCCTTGTGCATTCTCGTATATTATTAAAAATATTTGTAGTATTTGAAGTAGTTGAGTCACCATCCCTGGAGGTATTTAAAAGACATATAAATATGTCACTTAGGGACATGGTGTAGTGGTGGATTTGGTAGTGTTAAGGGTTGGACTCTACGATCTTAGAGGTCTCTTCCAACTTAAATGATTCTGTGATTCTGTAATTTACAATTTAGAGAAGAGGTCTGGTAAAGCAGATTCATGAAAATGACCTTCAGTGCCAGTACAGGTCAGAATGAGCAGCTTTTGCAAACTCTGCTGTCCATGGGGTATTGTGATTTGTATGTAGTTCAGAGGGGGCTGACACAGTAATAAAAAGAAGCAGCCACTTGGGTTGTAAATTAAAATTTACAGAAGGACTGCAAAAAATATAATGGACTTGAAAGCCAGAAGAACAAAGCCTTTTAGAAAACTGCCATGGTTCATGTGGATGAAACTCCCATCCAGTACTACTCTGTCAGAGCTCACATACAGACATATGTTCTGTGTCCACATGTGTGGGCTCTGACATTTGCGGACATATATGTGATTTATTAAAAAGCCAAAAAGCTAAGGTTAGGTGAAAGACTGTGTATTTACCATGTCAGGGATGCTATTTTCTCCAGTCTTTATTTTTAAATACCATTTTTTAAAAATAAAAATTAAGGGTACATATCTAAGAAGAGGTTTTAAGGTAGGATTAGTGCACTGTGAGTGAATGGAGTTGCTGTGAAGTATTTGAGAGCGTAAGCCATGGCACTGGGACCTACTTCACAAGAAAACCTTTTTGACCTTCTTCCCTGCCAGTCTTAGCACTGCCTTTTTAGATCTCACCAGTACTGGGATATATGAATTGGAATTAGCTGCTCTGGAGTGACTTCCCATGTGGAAGAGGGTCTATTGTGAAACACATGTGATTGTTTCTTTTTCTTTTGTTCTTTCTACTTCTTTCAATTACAGAACTATTACTTGTCTTTCGAAGGACTCAGTATTCCCAAATAGTATTCAGAAATGGTAACAGATTCTGTGTCCTTTTGGGTAGCTGTTACAGAGCAGCCACAATATCTACTGTGAGTTGCTGTCTTTGTATAGTCAAAAACTTGAACCTTTCTTACTTCACACATCTGTAGTCAAGAAGATGATGCATGCAGCAGCTGTTCTGTACTCAAACCTGCAGAAAGCTGTAAGATGTTACCTTCCTGTAAAGTTGAGAGGTTGTAGATACTCAAACCAAAGAGGAGTGCTGAGCCTATATATTATGTTTTTTACCCCCTGAAGGCTTATAATTTGGACAGATACATCCCTGATACAAACTCGCCTGCATCCTTGCCAAATTTCAGGTCTATCTTAGAACAGAGCTATTCAAAGCAAACGCTTCCAGATTTTGTTTGCACGGCCAAATTCTTTTTTATTGTTTTCAGAACCACCTAAACCAGCTGTCTCTCCTCCTTCCCTCCTTAATTTCAGTATGTGATAGGAACAAAATCCTCTAGCCCAGTCTCCAAGTATAGTTTGGCAAAGCTATCTCAGCTGAAGATAGCTACTTTATGAGGGTTTCTTAAGCCTCTCTATATAAGGCCTGCTGTTTACACCACCTGTTCAAACATGACTAATATAGCAGCTTGTGAGGAGAAGGAGCTTGCAGGTAGACGGTTTGGGGCCCTGGACTCCAGTACTGCTGGAGTTATTCTGCAGGTTACACTATTGACAGAACCTGTCCCCTTGATGTACTCCCAAACGTGGTTCCTGTGCTGGAGTGCGTAACCCAGTCACTGCAGTGTAGGCTGTGTGATCCTCATGGCTCAAGAAATTAATTATGTACTGTAAAAATACCTGAGTTTCTGTGTTTTCTCTCTGAGTTTCATCATTTTCGTATCTTTTGGAATGGAAAATGGGGCAGGTGCTCTTAATGCAGAGTTGCTACTTGTTCTTCCCCATGTTCTCACTCCCTCTAACATTTTAAATGAATTTTGGAAACTTGAAAATGGTTTTAACATTGATGCTACTTGCACTGTGCTGTTTGTAGCAAAGACTTTGTAATTTCATTAAAGTTTCAAGAAAATAGTTTGATGTTTGCTCCGTCTTTTTCCCTCCTTCCCCCTTAGCCCCCTGAACTGCCTGGGTGGTGTGACCAGTAAAAGTGGAAAGAAAACCACTGCACTTGAGGAAACATAAATTTCTTCCAAGTTAGTATAGGATTTCCAACTCTGGATGAAACTTTACAGCAGTTTGTCCAGAAGTTGCCCAATACCCATCTGTGTCAGCACTTGCTCTTTTTTCCAGTGGTGTGAACTCAAGTGGAAAATCTTTAAGAGCATTACATGATGTATAAGACTTCTCATGCTCATCAGTCACAGAATTGAGACTTATATACAATATATACAATTAATTTCATTAATCATAAAATGCAGGATTTAAAGTTCCTAGGATTTCTGGTTTTCTGCACAGATACCATTTACATTTATTTTATATGTAACAATAGAGAGCCAGGTTCAGTTTTTATCAAAACCAATAGAAGATGAAGACAAAAGGCTTCTGTGTTCAAGATGTGGATTTGTGCTGAAGCCACAGGTGTACCCTCAGGTTCTCCAGAATGATTACGCTACGTGCAACTACAGTGGTTTACAACAGATGTGATGTCCAGTAGCATTTAGGAAAGAAATTGGTGAAAAATATAGCTGTGAAAATATGGCTCGTCAAACTCTCGGGTGTTGACTTGTGGTGGCTGCAGCTGTACAGTCTTAATTTTAGCATTTACACGTGGTTCTGTTAAAGAGAAATAGTCTCCTATGTTCGGTTAAACTTGGAAGTAGGCAGAGATTCCTGCGTATCCAAAACATGCAGTGAGGCTTTTTTCCAGTTTATGTGTTTTATATCAGAATTGTTCAATTGCCTTGGAAAGGTTCTCTGCCTTTAGCTGGAAATTTATTGTAGATGATGTTGAAGGACTTAAGAGACAATTTAGGAGCTGTAGGTCAAACAGTATTGCTTACAGGCTGGTACATTTTTGCTGAGTATATCCGTTGCACTTACACTTTTAAATAATCATAACCTCTTGGTAATTGTATATTTACATTAAGCACTGGTGGGAGAGAGTATTTTGATACCTGCTTAAATTTTAGGAATTGAGTCAATCAGGTCTGTTTCTGTAATTAAAGATCTGACTGCAGGTATTGTAAGGATTGAGGATGCTGTTGTTGTGCGTGGAAGAAGTTTTGGGTTTATAGAAGGAGAATGTATTTTCCTTGGACTTTGTGTATTGATTTTCAAACAGAAGACAAAGATGAATTTTTTGGACTGACCTTTTTTAATGTTGTCAGTGTAATCTTGAATTGTTTGGGTTTGTTTTTTTTTTATTTTGTCCCTCATTCTTTCTCTTTTTAACTTAAAAACATTGAAGTCTGTTGCTCAGTTGTGTTCTGTTGAACCAAAGCATTGCATTTGTTGCTGCAAGCCTATGAGAAATAGAATTGATTCTGCACAAGCCTTATCTGGCATTATAAAGTGGTTTTTGATGAAGAAACAGCCATTGGAGCAGTTGTTTATTTTGTTGTTAAATACTTTTATATACTAGCTTTTGAGCTGTGCAGTTTTCCCCAAGTTTTCTCACTTATCAAATTGCATGGTTCAAAAATAGTCACATTTTTACACTGAAACATCAAACAAATTACTGCCGTGGCTGTGACCCCACAGGTCAGAATCTGGTCTGGGATTCATTCCCCCGTATCCAGATCTGTACCTTTGTGTTGCTGAGTTCATTGTGTACAGTATCCAAAACAGGATTCAGCATTAAATCTAAAGTTTCACTTAGAAACATCTACTGATGCATTTTTATGGAAAAGAGTGCAAGTTGCACTTTTATGACTGTTCTGTGTTTAACTGGAGTATCTAGAGCCGCTTTTTTATCTCTGGCTTGCTTTGTCTTGTATTTCTGATTCCTAAAGCACCACCTCCATTGTAAAAATTTTGCAGTCTTCTGGGGGTAAGATTGGCAGAATCCTAATACTGAACTGTTCTTTATGGGACACAGTAGTCAATATAGTTACTCTTGCTGGCTCCCCAGACTTTGCTAAACAAAAAACCCCACAACCAACCAACCAAAGAAAACCAGGCAAAAAAACCCCCACCTCTTAGCATTCAATCACCCAAAGAAGACTAAATTTAGTTTCTGAAGATATAGCTATAGAGATATATATGAAAACATGTGGCTTTGGTTATTGTTTCAGATTAAAGATCTTTTTTTTTCTTTCCCCAGGGCCGATTACTGGAAATCTCAGCCAAAAAAATTCTGCGATTACTGCAAGTGCTGGATAGCAGACAACAGACCTGTACGATGGTCTACCATACTATGTCAATTATTTTGAAATACTAGGAATTTGAATTACAGGCTATTAACGTCACTTTTTGATACGAGTCTATTGATGCATGAAATCTGTTTCTCAAAAATGTCTTTGTAATAATTATGACCCTTAAAATATATTACATGAGACCCAGATACCTGCATATAAGATGGTGTGTGCTGTTCTACTTGGCAGTACAGATAAGAACTAAAATATCTGACCCTGCTTTTTCTTTCAGTTCTGTAACTTCACATTTGATCTGCCTCGAAACTTTGTCTGTTGCCTGTTCCTCGCTTTCATGTACAAGTAGAAAGCAAAACCTGGCATATGTACTGTTTCTATGTGGTAGGCATGGTACAGCCAGCAGTCTTGAGCATTTAAAGCAGTTTTCTTTCATTTCACACAGCCAACAGAAACAACACCAACAACAGGTGTTTCTGACTGGTAGATGTCTTTTGCAGACTACTAGACCTGTTGGTTTCTTACTTAGAAATAAGTTTTGCATTCCTGATTGGATGCCAGGAGTACTCCTAGAGCTGAGCTTCATCTGGCTTACAGTAAGATAGCTCAGTTAATTAGCTCACACAAACTGCAGGTATCGTCTTGGAGTCAGTGAAGAGAAATTCATGTAAAGGGAGAGATATAAGTAACGTGTAAAGTCTGTCTTCAAATGAGTTATCCCTGGATGTGCATCCTCTGCACATCAGTTTGTGCAAAGGAAAGAAAGCAATTCTAGGGTTACTAGGTCAGGCTTAGGCACCTGAACATCTGAACATCTAAATGAGCTCAGATGGTTTTTTTTCTGAGAACCACAGGAGGACCTCCACTGTTGTGCCCATAGGGAGCTTCTGAACTCCTTCCAGCCCCTACTGGCTGGTCTTCCGGGCAGCTTTTTGGCTTGCAGACTGTTCTGTTGTCCTTATGTACCCAACTCTCCCACTTTACCTCTTCTTTTTCTTTCTCTCTTTCTCAGGTTTGTGGACCTGCAGTTCAAGTTCATGAGATATTTGTGGATTTAGCGTTATCTAATTAAGGGTGGTAGCTAATATTTGGAACACTAAACAACCCATATGGTTTTTAAAAGCTTGCATGAGAACAGGTTAAAAAAAGAAAAATTAGATGACGCTTGGAAGTGTCATCACTTGGAAGAATAGCATGAAGAGGGAGACCACATTGCCTGTTACTTATCTCTAATATGTTGCTGAACGGTATTATTTGAAAAAATTTAAATCTTATAAATACACTGAGATTATGATACCATCCTGGAGTGTTACTGATTTTTCATTATTTCTATGTTGAGTGTTTCTCAGTGTTCCTGTGTTCCACCCATTTTATAGCTGTAGTATTGCTGTAGGTGTTCTCAGAACAGCTTACATTTAGGTTTGTTCAACTAAGCTTAGTCTAACTAAATTTTGACTAACTAAAATTATTTTAAAATTGTATAATACATATAATTTTTCTTGCTTTTTTCTCACTTTGAAGAGCATTGATTTTCATGAAAGAGGAAAGAATCATAAAGAAAATGTGGCAAAAAGAATTAGTGAGGTAACTCAAATATCTTAATTGCACAAATGCTTATTTTTACTCTCTTATCATACTTGTTTAATTTATTCTCTTGGGGGTTTTCTGTTTTGTTTTAGATTAAAAAGAAAAGCTTGGAAAAGGCAAAAGAAGAAGAAAACATGTCAAAAGAATTTGCGGCAATGGAGGAGGCTGCAATGAAGGCATATCAAGAGGATATGAAAAGGCTTGGAATTAAGCCAGGTAGTTCACATAGCTGCCAAAAGATAAAAGGCAGAATTGAAAGAATATTGAATAGGAAAGTTTTGTCTTAAATTGGATTTAGGAACATGAGAGGAGGCCTCCAGGACTGTGTTTACTCGTTTTTAATAGTAATAAAAAAAAGAGTAGTTTACAAATTGCCAGTAGTGAAGTGGCAGCACAGAATGTTTTTAGCTACAGTATCCTCTGATCCATGGAACAATCAAATTTAGAGTAGAAAAATTAAACAATGTGATAACAAAAAAAAAAATAGGCTGTAGTTGTTGCTTCGAATGACCAGTGCAGCTTCCCTTGATTAACTATGTTTTACTTTTGCCAGTTGGAGACAAAAGTTCCTATGAGTAGGAGAAGACTGGGTTCCCACTTGTGTCAGGCAGTGGAGATGAGTATCTCCTATTCAGCTTGCAGTACCTTTGTTCTGTCCATGTGAAGATATACTATCCTTTTAAAAAAAGTTGGTAGTTTCAGGCTCCTGTATGAGCTATCTTTCTCGTAACACTTCTAGTTTGTTTTTTGTTGTTTGGTTAGAGCTAATTGATCCAAATGGTTTTTCTTTTTGCTATTCATCTTTTTAAATTTGGGCTTTGTTGTGACACTATAGTAAGTGCTGCAGTGTAAGGTTCTTTGAGTATAGTCTTTAAAGTGTACTTGCTGTGAGTGTAATACTAAAGACTGTCACTCAGTAGTGAAAATACTCATAAGAGCAAAACTTCCCATTTTTTGTTGGGCAGGTGACTAATACTTAAGTGCAGATTATTACTCTTTTTTAAGGGCAGTATTGTTTTCTTTAAGATGAAGTAGGTCCCAGTTCAACACCAGGTAAAACACAGAGTAACGCAGTGGAAACTAAAGAAAAGAAAGAGAAGAAGGAAAAGAAAGAAAAGAAAAAGAAAAGTGAAACGAAGTGGGTGCAAGGACTGTCTCCCGAAGGCTATACGTATTACTACAACACAAAAACTGGAGGTAAAAGCAAATGCAGATACAGTTATTGGCTCTAAGTGAGAAATTACTACCTGCATTTCTTTACTCTTCTGCTCTTTCAGTAGTAAGCTGACTATTAAAACATGAACAATTTGATGGAGTTTTGATATTTAACTTTCAAGACTTAGGCATCCAGAATTCCAGACTGGTTTTGCTGTTGATTAATAATGGAAGAATGCAGTAATACCACAGTTTCTGGAAACGTTTAGCCTGTCAGAGGTTAAGTATACAAAAGATAGCTGTGTTCTTCCTAAACAAGTTTTCTGATCAGGAATGCAAAATAAACTGATTGTTTCTTTCCAAATTTACAAGCTTTATCTAACTGACTTTTCTTGAAGAGCTATGTGTTATGATCTATTTTAGAGCATAAAAGCCACCCTCTTGTACGATTAATGAGAATGTTACAAACTGTTTCATATAAATCTGAGGTTTGGCATTAGAATTTACTGTAGTCTTTCCTCATACAAGATAGCTTCCAAAAGGTAAAAATCTTGTGTGTTTAGCTTCTTCTGGTGTAACATTTAAAAATGACCAAACACAATTTCCCTTTTTTTTTTAACCAAATTTCCAGTATCTCTGTATCAGCCATATGGAATCTGAAGGGTCGCTAGTTCCAGTAAAGCCAGGTGTAATTATGATACTTTGATTTATTTTTTCATACCATAGTTTGATCAAGGATTATTCATATTCCAGTGAGTTGTATGTATCTATATCATTTGTCTATATGTGTGCACACATCAGCATTATATCTTTTAGATCTGGTTTTATTAAAGATTATTAAACAGCATTGAATGATGGGTGAAATATGCTTTTGTTTTTTAAGAATCACAGTGGGAGAAACCCAAAGGATTCCAAGGCAACTCTCAAAACTCACAAACGGTAATCAAATACTATTATTCATACTTTTCTTTGTCCTTGTAAACACTTAACAGAAATAATCTAAGCAATCTGCAAGTCTTTTGATTGCAGAAAATAAACTGTTGGCCCTTTATAAACTTAGGAAAACGTAGAATCATTTATGATAAACTGAAATTTTACTGTGCAAATCTTATTTGGCTAATTTGTCTATCAAGGGAGGAAAAGTAATAGTAGTGGTTGGGTTCTTGCAGAATATGCTTTTTCTTTAGCTTCAGCCCATAAAAATTGAAAGCTTTGGGGAAATTATGAATAAATTCTGTTGAACTTTCTGTGAAGAAAATGTAATTTAAAAAATCTTACATATTTGAAATAGTTAAGCCTCCTTTATCGTAGGAAACATTGAGATTGCATTGGCAGGTAGTTAAAAAAAAGAGTGTCTATTTTTTGTGTTTACTGTAGGATACAGTTATGTAACAATTTCCTGTTTTCCTTGGTTTCTTATGATCATGAAACCTATGTACAAGCAATTATTTAACATATTTAGAAATTTAGCATGTTACTCGATTTTTCTTGTTTGAGGCACAGGGAAACTTGCAGAATAGTCCCAAGACAGAAAGACTATTATTAACAGGCTTTCCCCTGACACTTACCACTCCAGGATTTTTGTGCTTTGCGGCATTAAAACCAGGATTTTTCTAACACTCCTGTTAAGTGATGTTATGTTTCTCATTTTCAAGATAGGTGTCATATGTACACTATGATTTAACACAAGTTTTGTTTGGTTTGCCAGTGTTGGATTTTACATTAGAGTTCAAAAAAGCCTGGTGTTTTCAGAGTGCTTGACTCTCTCTAGCTCAATATTGTTACATCACATGCTGCTCTGGCTTTCTGATTCCCTTATCCTGTGGTTTTGCACCACTTGTTAATCAGCACTTCAGCTTTATCTTTTCAGTCAAGGCACAGCATTGCAGTATTTATAAGCCAGTCTTACTGTAGCCTTCCACAGAAGGAGGCGGTCCTGAAGCTAATCTTGTATGGCCTTTGGTGCATATTTACCCTGACAGTGAACAAGTTCAGAGAGTGAAGGCGTCAGAGTTTAGGTTAGTGCTTGGTAGGCTTATTTCCTGGCCATCAGCTATCTGGATAATCAGAGAAATGCCAGTGTGGGGAGAGCAGACTAGGGGGAGAAGGCACTCCCTTCTTGGCAACAAATTGAAGTTAGCTCAGCTATATCATAAACACACACCTTCAGCCTTGGATATCTCTCTAATACCACATGGCTGTATTTTGCCATTCCTACCTCACCCTGCTTGGTGATTTTGTGCAGTCTTGAGTTATTTTCGCTACAGCTAAAAACAAGCGTTTGGTTGCTCCCTTATTTAGTCTGAGCTAAACATACTGGGAACATTCCAGATCTCTAACAAGGACTCACTGCCCAGAAGTTAAAGGGCATGCTTGCAATATGCCGTGCAAGTGAGATTCAGGGGCCCTCCTAGTTTTACAGCACATTGCTGCTCAGACGTTTTAAGAGATGGGGAGAACAGAGTGATGAAGAGGCATGTTGAAGACTACCTATAACCAGTTAGATCGACATCATGCTTGTTAGCATTTGTGTCGTAGAATACTCGGTGTGCCTAGTGTCAAATATTTGCTGGAAACCTCCAGGCGCCAGGTCTAAAATGCTCAGGATCTAACACTTGACAAAAAGGATAGGTTGTACCTAAGACTACTTTTTTGTCCACTTTCTACTTACATAAAAGAAACATTCCTTTTGCTTCTTTTCTTGAAATGAAATGAGCACATTGAAACTTTTGAGGGCAAAACCTTGAGGAAACTTGCTTACTGAAGGCTTTCTTGCCTTTGCTTTGCTCTAAAGCTACTGGTACATTTTTTTCTTGTTTACAGAGCGGGTGCAAGAACCTTAACTTCTGATTTTGTTGTGTTTAAAAAAAACCAAACCACAATAAAACCTGAGTTTTATTAGAAGCATTAAGCAAATGTATAGGTATGTGTGTGCAAAACATAGACGTTATTAATGCCAAAATAAGGTATGGTGAAGCTGCACAGATGCTCTGCCCAACACAGGGAAGTGGGCAGTATTAGTACTTAAGGAGCAGTGAAGTAGTTGTATGTTCAAATGTAGCTGAAAATCGTGTTCTTAAGGAAGATGTCAGGTCATGGGTGATGACTGATTATCTAGCTGTAGATGATGCTGAAAAAAAAAATTACATATTCACAAAGATATGCCAGCAAGTTCTACCACATTTCATATGTATTTATAAATAAGTAGGGAAAAACAGTCTGTTGTTGAAATCAGTGCTTTACTAAAGAAGTAAAATCATTGGGGTTCATTCATACAAAGTTTGATTCTATATTTGTGGTGAAGATCTATTTTGGGATAAATTTATGCTTGTTTGGTTAATTTGTGATAGTATTTATTGGTATTGGGTTTTTTGTAACCCTCACAAAGACCTGAGTCTTCTCAAGAATTTTTTCATCAGTCTCTACTAAATACAATAACATAAATAGGAAATTACAATAGGGTGAATACTTCGGAAAATAAAAAAATCCCATGTAAAATAATGGTCTCTATAATAATTTGAACTTTATGGCAACATTTACTATAGAGGCTCATACAGATTATCCACTGCTTGAAAAATAATTGTTTATGTGCATTTGCAGTATTTAAAGTCATGGAATTCAGTCTCATTTGAGTCAAAGGGAATACTTTCTAACAACATTAGGGGTTCAAGCTTTAAATCAGTAAAATAATGACAGACAAAAAGTTCTCAGGAGTTGAATAATCTTACAAGTGATGCTTTGGCTGATTCTGAAAACTTTTTTTCATTAGCTCCTGTATCTTTTTCCTAGGGAGCAGAGTGGGTAGAAGGTGTCACTGAAGATGGTCATACCTATTACTATAACACACAAACTGGAGGTAAGGAGAGAACTCTGAAAAGCTCTGTTTCAGGAGAGAGGGTTTTCAGAGAAGCTTTTTGTTTTGCAAAGTAACTGCATTTTAAGGCCACTGCTGTGTTTTGTATTTTTTAAGCTGTGGTCTTAGTTGAAATGTACTTGTTTAAGTCACTGCTGGCTTTACAGCTGGATTGTCAGTGTGTATAAATTCATGCTTCATAGGTTTTTTTTGACTTTGAGTTGTAACTTTAAGCATTCTTCTCTATATATATTGAAAGTAGAGTTAGGAAACTAGGAGGAGGATTTGGTTTTGATAGATATGTAGGATAAAATAAGAATCTCCTAAACTTTTCATCTTGCTGACATAGCATTGATAAGAGAGTCCAGAATCTTACCTCCCACTTCTTTTCCCCATTTTTTCCCTACATGGGAACTTCATGGTAACTCCCTCAGAATGTTTTCTAAATCTGATTGAATCACTTTAAGATCAATGAGGCCTCTCTGGAGAGCAAGTGATTTTTATGCTGCCTATGAGTTTTTCTACTGCTGTTGGGTATGAAGTGGCATTTCTCACAATGCCAAGAACACTAAAAAAACCCAAGCAAAACCTTTCAGTTTTTAAACCACTCACTCCCCTGCCCCAGTGATTTGTGATTTCTTCTTTGGAAAGGGAAAGGAGGTGTTGGTTATTTTTAAAGATTGCCTTCTAATTTCAGATGCATTTTATGTATTTGGGTGTATTGTTTTTGTAAGTTCTTCAGAGACATATAACACTTGTGAATAATGTGTTTATAGTCATTGTATTTGGTAAAATTTTGGCGTGTGAGATCTCAAATTGCTCCTTTACTTTTATATAGTTGTGAATGTCTTGGAAATGTTTGAGAATTACCTGTCACTTCTGCTAACAGTACTCCCATCCTCTGAAGACAGGACCAATTTTTAACTGATATAAATAGTCATAATTGTCTCATCTTAGACATGTAACTTAGGAGACAGATATCTCTACGCTTAGTGCTACGAGTCGTGCTTTGGGAGGCTGTACTTTACTCCACTGGCTGTATGTGGCACCTAGGAAAGGGAACTTCCTCATTTACTAATCTAAAGACAGATGACAGCAGTATCTTCAAGTGACTGTGCTGTTCATGCAAAGTCATTTGTTGCCAGTTTTTTACACTTTTACTTCTTCAAGGTACATCCAGATGCTTACCTGTTAAGTGTTGTTTGCAGTTAAGGATTTCTTTGGAAATGGATAAAATAATTGGAAAAGTAGTAGTTTTATTACATCTGAAAACTTACATAAAATTATAGATTGAAAGTTGGCCTACTTTTGCCTTATTCTTAAAAAGACCAGTTTTAAGACCACTGAATCAACTTTTATTTAAATATTTACTTTTGGTATATTTGCTGGAATACTACCTCTTAATTGAAAATGAGGATATGTATGTACATATCTTGTACAGACTTCCATGTATTTTCAGATTGAGGTTTGTGCTTCCTTGTTTGCTTTACAGCCCTTTTAATTAGAGACCTAACATTACCAAGCAAAGGAGCACATGGAAGGTGTTTATCATGCTGGAGACCAGAGGCTTGCAGTTATCATTCTTTACTTTATCCTGTCTTTGTAATCAGTGAACAACTCAAATCAAATAGGCACATCTAGAGGGTAATTAATTCGCTTGTCCTGTGTAGGGATGAGAGGGACCATGGTCTTGTGGACCCCAGTTTACTGTGTGTGAGAGCTAATTAAAACAAGCTTTATCAACAGTGAACTCAGCTGTCAGGACTGTAGCTCTGCTGAGAAGTGAAATGTTATCTTTCTAATTATGTTTATTAAAACAACAAAGGCAAAACCCTTGTGCTAAATTATTTGCTGTATTTTGAATAGGGCAGCACTGCTTCTGAAATGTAATGTTGTCGAAGCAACAAAATATCAAAATTAGAAGCATAAATAACCTGGTTGTTCAAATGTCTTGGACAGTATCCACATGGGAGAAACCGGATGGTTTTGTTTCATCTTCAAATGAGAAGAGTCGACGTGACAAGCATTCCGAAGAGCATGCAGAAACAGCATCTGAATCAGACTCAGAAGACAGTGAAAATGAGGCAAAGAGTTCAGAAACAAACTCCAAGGTAATTTTTCTTCAGATTTATTTTACGTACTTTATCTTATACTAGGAAATTATGGCTGTGTCTTTTATCTCTTGTGATAGTCTGTACTTATTGAAATGAGATTAAACCGTATGACTGAAAGTAGAATTTTGCACTTCTTTAAATAGTAAAATGAATCTTTGTTCAATTGTTTGGCTCATTAGTGTCACTGTTCCAGAGTAGAAAGCATGTTCTTTCCTTCAACTCACCAGAAGTACCTTGAATTCTACAAGAAATGTGATGTTCTCTGAGAAAGGTCACTGTCATCTCTCTGAAATAATCCACAAAATGGTTTGGATTTCAGTGTGAGGATGACTTCAACCCTTCATTGGTAAATTGGTGACTGCCAATGGACTTTCAGGGAGTGGTTTGGACCGAAAATGGCATGGTTGTAGTTTCCTTATTAAATTGAGAAAAAGCATTGACACCAAATAGTACAACATCTTTATCAATTAAATATTTAAAATGTAAATGTAAAACTTAAGATAAAAGTGGGTGATTATGGCTTTGGTTGGGTCAGATGGTTTTTCTGAAGATTGTAGTTCTGAACAGAGACACTTTAAATATAATATGCATTCATAGGCAGATGTTAATTCTAAAATATGTGGTTTTGTATCAATGTGCACCATTATAAACTGCCCTCAGGTCTCAGCGATAAATTGTGTGTATCTGCATGTACATAAAGCTGCATGTGAATTTTTTCCTCTTTTTTTATTTTAAGACACCCTAAGCTTTGTTTTTAAGCAAGTTTGAATTTGCTACGCCCTGCTAACTTCAGCCTTGGTAGATGGGATTTTCCCACTTGAATTTCTTGTAACATTTAAGAAATTTTTTTCAACTTTATGTAATGAAAGCTCAAGAAGAAAAATTTGCAGATTATATTACCATATGAACTTTTTTAAAGTTACTCTTAGTTGAAAACTGTGAATAGTAGATGATACTAAATAAAAGATGTAAAATAAAGCTACATTATGTTTTTATTTAGGCATTTTTGCTTAAGGTGGGTTTTTTCCTCTTTAGAGGAAAGGAGATAATGGTGAAGAATCAGAGGAAGGGAAGAAATCTCCTAAAGCTAAAAAGTTAAGTCCATACGGGAAATGGCGAGAAGTTAAGTCAGAAGAAACTGGAGATAAAGAGGAGAGTACATCAGCTTCCCAAGAAACCTCTGGTGATGGATCTAACACGACTAACCCTTATGGAAAATGGAAAGCACTTAAGGAAGTAGGAGAAGAAAAAGAAGAAGAAGAAGGGTGAGTATCTTTTTTACCTTGGTTATTGTCATAATGTTGTTTTCAAGAGCTGAAGCATTTTCTTCTGAATTCTGGTGGAATTAGCACAGCAGTAATTGGAATACAATTCTTTCTGCCGTGATTATTTTAAGTTATAGCTCTCCATTGCAGATATCAGTGGTGTTTTGGTTTTAGTGTAGAAGTTTGCTGTGAGTACAGAGTAAATTAAAGTGATTTAAGAATTCTAGTCATGCATCATTTTTTCAGAGGCTGAGTATCAAAAATGTTGTTACTCTAAGCTTATGTTCCTTAGCATCATCTCCTTCAAAAATCTGGTTTAGCTTCTTCAGGAACTCTAATGACTGCTTTTTCAACTGTTTCCAGCCTTGGAACAGTAGAGGCAGCTTTCTTGGGGCCTCCAGCTTTCAGGCTAAGTTCTGTTTCTTTTTCATGGGTAACTAGATGGGCAGACTCCACCTGGAGTTTTAGATCTATCTTGATCTTCTAGGACCACCAGCAACTTTATATTGATCATGGCAGGTTAGCATTGCTTTGAATTCCTTCCTTGTGGGATCAATAGTTGCTGACATAACAAGTGTGCTTTTTTAGACTCCAAGCAATTTTTACCTAACCCTGGTATGTTTGAATGGGCTACTCCCACGAGTAGCGGATCATTTCTCACTTTATGGTATTGTACTCTCATAACTGTTCACTTGAAGGACACAGCCTAGAAGGCGCTTCAAGTTTTCTATCTTACTTTCACCCATAATTGCAGTAAAAGACTTCTGGTTCAACTGTTTTCTTGTTCATTTTTTTCCCCCATTTCAAAACAAAGTTAAGCAAAACCAAAAAAAAAATCCACTCCAACATTTTGCGCTGTCACAGTGGGTAAGTCCTGAAGGCAATTGCAATGGGGTGGGAAACACTTTGATATTACTTGGGAGATGAAAGGCAAAATATGTCTAATGTAGTTATGCCAGTTTTAAATCTGGAAGCTGTCTCTCCCCCTCTCTCTCTGTCTCTCCCACCCCCATGCCTGAGCAGTGAACTGCGGATGTTTTCATGATGTGCATCTGATCAGGAAGGTTGTTTTTGTTTTACTGCATAGTGTCTGAGGTAGCTCTTTTTGTTTGGTTGGTTTTTTTTAGTTTTGTTTTTGATTTTTATTGTGAAGCATGCTGCCTTTTATTGTCATGTTCTTGTGGCTCCCCTAAGAGTTTGGAGAAAATAGGTTTTGGAGAAAGAAAACAGTCTTCTTTCTTATGCTGACTCCATTCTCCAGCATTTTAGCTCTAAATTATTCAGCAGATAGAGTTTTGACACTGTTCAAAATAAATTAAGCACCAATATACTTCCTTGGAGACGATAATGTTCACGTTAACACCTCCTGCGTTGGATTGGCTAGCTGCTCCTTGACCCTGAGCTGAAAAATTCTTTTGGGGTTTTGGAAAGCACTGTCTAGTAAAAAGTGTTTTCAGCTACTGAAAGCTTATAGATGAGTCTCTGCATGAGCACGCAGGCTTGAGATAAACACATGTCAACGAGACAAATGCAGTTCATTATTTAATTTAAATTGAGTCTAGGCACAGTGACAATCGCTTTCAGGAGGTTTATATTTTCAGGATATGGCAGCAATCACATTTTCTTGATGTACTTGACTTGTGGCTCTTGTTTGGGTGCTTGAGTTGATCCATGTCTTCCTTGAAGGAAAGACTTGAAACCAGGTATAGTTCACAAGCTGATATCAGACTAACACTTGGTAGTACCAAGAGTATTCTTGCATGGATTAGCCAGTGTGTATCTCTTTGCATCAGTGTTGTGCTGGTGTGATTCCTGACGGACTTGTCATTCAGGTAACCTTCTGTGAAATGTTTGGTTCTTCTCCATCGTATGTTTGTGCCACAGGTTATCCTTGTGGAACACAGTGTTTTGCTGTAGACCCCTTAAAACCAACCGGTCATTTTTAGTTGATATCTTTGTTTTGTTCATATCCCTGTTAGCTGTGATCTTGGCCTCCAAAGCCACCTCTCCCAGCCTGTGGTCACTGGCTGATTTGGTAAGCTTGTCCTCTCTTCTGTCGTGCAGTCCCTTGAGAGTGGGCACTTGAGCAGAACTACTCAATGGTATTTTGGCGGAGAACCACTGCTAATTACTCACTGACTACTGTCTGTCAATTTTCTTAAATTTACAGACATGCAGCCCTGTTATCTTTTGCTGGACTGTTTACATGATGAGCTCTTGGGCCACAGTCTAAGCTCAGCACAGAATGAGATTTCAGTTTGTTACTTTTTATGGCAGCCCACACAGAAGAAACAAAGAACATGGGTTTTTTTCTTGATGCCTGTCATGATGATGACTAGAATACTGCATCTAGCTGAAAGCTGCTTTGACAAATAAAAATAGCTGTTATGGTCTGCAGTACACCATGTTGTTTTCTCCATGTAGCTTAACCCTTTTATGTTTTCCTCTCTCCTCCCAGTGAAAAAGTGGACCTGGAGCTTCCAAGTACAGAGAATGACAATGCAGCACCCCCAGTGTTAGAGGTTCCAGAAGAGGAAACAGTGATATTTAAAGAGAAGACAGTCACCTCCCTTGGAGACCTGACAGAAGGGATGCCAACATTTAAAAAGAGAAAATTTGAAAATGGAAAATCTAGAAACTTAAGACAGAGACTAAGTGATCAGTAATACTTAACAAATCATTTTAGATTCTGTTTAAGATAGAGTGAATCAAAAGTTTAATATTTTAAAGAGGCTTTTATAAAGAAAATGTTGGATAGAAATTGAAGATTTATAGGTACTAAAACATATGTGAGTTATTTTATTTTGATGTGATTGGTTTTGGAATGGAAGTTTTTGTTATATTACTTATGGAATATTGTAAATACATGTACTTTTTATTTTAACCATGCCATCTCAGTTCTATTTGCTCTGTGTATGCTGTTTTAAATACGTTGCATAACATTTTTTACTCCTTTTCTAAGTATGTGAGGATGTAGTAATCCTTAATATGGCAAAAATGAAGCAGACCTTTTATTTTTACAGTGGAACTGGATCAATAGCATGTACTAGAGAGCAAAATCATCCCCCTGAGGTTGTTTATGTGGAGTAGTTTCCCCACTAATGAATAAAAATATTGTGCTTACTAACCTTTGGTCAATTGCTTGCCAAAGAGTAGGTGGTGAGACTGCCAACATTTCAAACTGATCATTTGAAAGCTGTTTTTAGCAGAGTTAGTCACATCAGTGCCACCCATTCCAAATGATGTTCTGAAAAATTATTTCTGTACGTGCATGATAGATGTATTAAACCTCTGCAGAAGATTTAAACCTGATGAATCTTAACTTGTAGTAACAGTACCAGAGCCCCGCTGGAGTAGACATTTCTCCTTGTTTTATTTTGCTTTATTGTTGTCTACTTCAACTCTTACTTATAAAATTGTCTTTTTTGGTCCTGCTTTCTTTTTGTCTCTTTCCCAGAAAAAAAATACTTGCCTGATATTTTAATGAAAAAATACTCTAGAGACTTGGCCCTGCTGTGGAATACAGGACCCTTTTTGAGGTGAATGTGTTTTGTCTGTTGATAAGAAGAGTGTGTTGCACAGTTGCAGTGTTGGATAAGCTGAGAGAGACTTAGTGTGTTGAAGCTTGATCATTCTAAGTACCATAGGAGAGGAAAACAAAAGATCAGTAGAGCTGATGGCTGTACTGTCCAAGATGACTTGGACATTTTCTTAAGGATTTTTAGATGTAGATTTGACTTCTTCACTTGATGGGATTGGTCTGCATTTAGCATCATCAAGATTCATTGCCTGTGTCAGAATACAGCTGCACTTACTGCTTCTCTAGCAATCAAACAGCGAACCATAAAGGTTCAAATAATGAATCCATTAAAAACTATGTCTATTCCTAAAGCTCACAGTGTTTTGTTCAGGAAAGTCTCAGTCAAAAAGAGGTGCAGTTAAGACTATAGAGTTGGTAACTGCTGAGCTTGAATTGCTTTGAGAAAACAACTACTAATCTGTTGGATCAGTGGAGAAAGGAGTGCAAGACAGGAAATCTCATTTATTGTGTATTACAATGGAGGTGAAGTCTTTTTTTCTATTCTGTGACATTTGCTTTATGTGTAGAAGAGAATTAAGTATTGTATTTAATCCTGTGTGTTTCCTTGGCTTCATCAGGGTTGTGGGTTTTTTTCTGATGCTTATTCTGACAAATTTGAAAGTTTCCTGCAATATCTGGCCCTGGATTATCATTTAAAGATGCAGGACACACGCTGAATGCTTTCACAGTCATAGTTCAGGAATATACAACATGTACTACACATGAAAGATCTCACATGCAAGGCAAGAACAGAAGTGTCTTTCCTGCCAATGAGAAGTTGTCAGGTTTCTAATCAAATTTTTCAGATATTGTTCTTATTTGAACACTACTCTGGCAGCTAGGAGCCTGCTCTAACTTAAGTTTCCTTATGTTTATGACCAGTTTACACTCTTCCTTCCCATTCACACAAGTACTGTCCTTGAGCTAAGTAGCTTTTCTTCATCTTGAATCCATCATATCTTCTCTCCTCGAAATCACAAAAAGCGTCCTTGTGTGACAGGACCTTCAGTGCTCCATCAGCACTTCTCCTCACCCATTCCAGCCTGAGTGTGCCTAGGCTAGAATTGCCTAGGTGATTTTGCCTGTGCTAGTTTACCTAGAATAAGGCCACACGTGATGTCACTTAATACTTCCTTAGCATATTGGAAGTAACTCTGGATATGTCCCTAAACCATATTTGCCTTTCACATGACAACATCGCACTGTCTGCCATGGGTGCCCTGTGACTTAACAGTACAACCAGCTCTCTCTACTCCTTTGCCATTGCCAGCTGATGAATTAACATCTGGTCATGCTCTCCTTTCAAGCACAATTTTTTTTTGTACTGCTGCACTCATCCTCCTTCTGTTACTCCAGGCCTAAGGTATATACATTTCATTATGATTTCTGAAAAATTATTTTATTGTTCATTAGTACAGTTTTATCCAGTAGTATAGGAATTTTTTTGTAGGCTCCACTTTTAATATCTGAGGAGGAGGACAACTTTCCTCTTCTTGTGATGTTTCCAAAATATTAATGTCTTTCCTTTAAAATGTTTTTTCACATTGAAGTCACAGGCAGGGATTTAAGATACCTGTAACTACATCTCTTGAGCAGATGTTTTAAAACGTCTGAAAATGAGTGTTCAAAACTTTTTTCCTTGTGGAGCTGGTGTTAGTTGTAATATGAACCAAAGGTCTTTGTACTGTGTTAAACAGACAAACCAAAACATTAGGAAAAGAGATTAAAAGTTTTCTTTGTTCACTGCTAGTAAAGTTAGTTTAAATACCACATGCTTGGTTTTGCTGATGTGACTTTTAAAGCTTGTGTTTCACAAAGAAATATAGATACAGCCCTTTGCTCTCTACTACCTCTGAAGGTCAGAGACCAGTTTATTCTTTGTTCCTAAGTGTAAATTATAAAAAAGGCCAGTTGAATTAAATTTGATACACCCAAAGCCACTGTTTAATTTTGCAGCACGCTGTCATTCAATTTTCCTTATTGTGTATCTAAGCCAAATATTTTTCTGTTCTACACAAAAATATGTCTTGTGTGAGATTTAAGGCAGACACTGCTTTTCCAAGACATCTGTTTTGCACAGATCTCTCTCCCTTCTGTGCTATCTCCCTGCAAAATCTTCTGCTTTTGGAATTTGAATCCTCTAGGTATTACTACAGTTACGCTCCTCATCTGCTAATCCTTCCTTGGGCTGCACTGGCTTTTGACAAAGGAATGTTACTGTTTCAGATGAGTGTTTTCTTTTCTGACTAATCCATTCTCTATCCTGCAGCATATTTTATTTGCTTGCCTGGTTTTATTGCAGGCTCCTTGAGTGAGGACGACATCCTTGGTTTTATAGATATCTATAGGCTGCTATAGATACCACTAACAATATGAGAAGGAGAGTCAGAGAGAAAGGGAGTCATTGCAATTTCTGATGATGATTTCTGTTGTGTGGTTTAGAGCAAGTCAGTTCACTGCTCTGTGTTTTTTATTCCTTGCCTCATATTTTCACCTGCCTTATTTGTTTAGGAAGACAGCTTTACAGTACAGGACATTTTGTGCATGTTTTTACAGCAGGGCCTGTCTAAAGTTGGTGATGCTTTTAGAAGTAAACACACTGCATATACAGAAAAAAAGAAAAGTTATTTTGTTGTGCATTTGCTATTCCAGGAACTGTGCAGAGACCTGCTCAAGTTTACCCGTGTTCTAGAATAATCCTTATTCCTATTTAGGCTGAGACAAATTTTAACCCTTCACCTGGAGATTTGTAGATTGAAATCCAGACTTCCCCAGTAGCGTAAAGTTTCATTTGAACATCATAGATAAAGTCTGTGCTGCAGCATCAGCCAGTCCCAGTATTCAGATTTAGAAGGTGGAAGGGCTGGTCATGACATGGATCTGAGTTAAATTCACTAATCTGTGCATGTATAAAAACATTTCTCCTTTTTTTTTTTTCTTCCCTGACAGATTTTATTTTAGTGCAAATTTTGGCATCTCAGAAAGGGAGTAAAAAACTATTTCACGCTTCTTGGTTTCCTTGATTCGCTTTTTGAGTTGTACCTCCCTTTTTAAAATACTTTTCTTATTATTGCTGTCTTCCTTGAATTGTCTTCCCTCCAGTATTCCCAGGTACACAAATCTCTATATCACTGCTGTGCCGTGTTTCTGGCATCCACCTTCACCTCATCCTGCTCTGCTGAGATCTTCAGAAAGCTTTGCATTCCTAGGTAGGCCAAGGTTTCTCCAGGTCCCAGCTCCTGCCAACCACTTCTGCTGCCTGTTTGCATTGTGCCCTGAAGAACTACAACCTTGTCTTTTTCCAAGCAACACACAAGCTGTTTCAAGACTGACTACATGTGCTCTTTTGATTTCCTTGATAATTCATTTTCCTGAGACAGATTCCATTCCATTCCTCCTATGGGGTTTGCAGCCCTAAAATCCTTCTGCTTGTTGGTACAAAAGCTGTCTATACCTTCTGCTGTGAGCTGCAGCAACCCTTGGGTTCCGTTTTGTCAGCCAGAGCTCTTCAGTCTCTCTTCTATCTACCTCTTGAGTCCCCTTACCTTCTACTTGCTAAATTATTTAAATTAGAAATTGTGTTAACCATTTGTGTGATTAACAAATTTAGCTTTGTGAAATGTTTCAGGGTAGAGCTTGAATAAAATTTTCTGTACAAGGCAAAAAGTGTTGCAAATAATAATCTCAAGAAGGCTAAATTTGCCCAAGAGGATTCCCAGAGAGCGTCAGCAGAAGTCGGTTTGATTTTATGTGTAAAACCAGAAACAGTCTGTTAAAAACCAGAAGAGAGCATTGTACAGACCACAGGATGAAGACAATGGATTTTAATGGCTTGTTTGGGGTGATTGAAGAGCGCTTGTTTTAGTTTATAGGTAGTGTCTGCAAAGTTAAACAGCTGGTTTCTCTTCAACTGCTTCTCAGTTGCAATTAAAAAATACTGCAAGCTCTTGAAGTGGAGTTTATATGAAAATACCAAATAAAGCTTTCATTTGAACAATCTGCGTTACCACTGCTCATCTGTTCAGGGGGTTTAGGACAACCTGGAAGATTTATGGGTGCATATTCTGTTAAAAGTGGGGCCTGAGGTAAATATGAACTTAAATATATAAATATAATATATAAAATACATATTAAAAATATGGAAATGCTTCTTAAATACTTTTATTTCATGGTCACCAACATGGTGTCTGGGTGCCTTCCTGTAGCACATTAAGTGGTTACTGAAAATTTGTTTATTCTGTGCATCAACTATGAGTAACAAAAGGCCTGGGTTAAAATTGTTAAATTTAAAAATTATTTGTCATAGAGTTCAGGTAAGGTTTGTTGCAGTTACTGTTAAGTAACATTCAGAATAAAGCTGAATATATAAACTTTTTGATGACAGATTGTGATTCAAATTTGCTGGTCTCAAGAACAAGGAGCAGTGCCCTGAGAGTTTGATACACACTGGATGGCTAAATGGAAGTAATTGAGGTGAGGTACCCAGGCTGTTCTCCTGTTGCAGAGGGTAGGCATCCAACTTTCCACTGCCATAGAAAGGGCTACTTCCAAGGGCACACACAGCTTTTGTCTGGCTTCCTTCTTGGCTGCGTGAGGCGAGACCTCAGCAGGGAAAGAGATCGAAGTAACTGCTTTTCATATCAATGGACAGGATCTGCAGAGCGATGAAGTTGGTGCCTCACACCAGCTGTAACATGACCTCTGTGGGTAGGGCCCAGTTCCACACCGATGGTGGGGAGGGGAAGCCGGGTGGGTGGGTGGTAGTTCATGATTGTTGTAACACTGTTTGACAAGGAAATGCAGATACAGAAGGCCCTTTCTCGCAGGGGAACCTGCTCTTGCTCTGCTGCGTTCTCCCCAGGGGCTGTTCATTGCCCCCCCCACAAGAAGTTGTTACCCCTTTTCCTCCCTGTGCTTCGTTAGTATCATTTTTCCTGCTGACAGTCATGATTGCTTGTAGGAACCAAACAGCCCAAGTTCAGAGTACTCCATCCTGAAAACACCTCAGAAATGGACCTGTTATACCCCACATCCTTCCTTGAGGACAAGTGCCAGCCCACAGTCAAACCCCATCACAATCTCTCAGCTCTTACATCCCACAGAAAGACCAGGGTGGAAGAACTTAGAATAAAATATGGCTTTGAATCTTTTTAAGTTAGGAGAAAACAGTTTCAAATAATGCTTTCTCAGTGAGGAGAAGCAAATACTCCTGCATTGCAGGCAGTGACCTCCTGTAGAAAGGGGTCTGCTCTATCCCAAATTCTGTCGTATCCATATTTTGCTAACACACACACACACATATATATGCGATTGCAGAAAAAGCTTAGTAAGACAAAGATCCTTCAGAATCTCCTAGGCCAGGCTGGCAGAAGGGGCTTAGCTGCTGAATTTCAATGCCTACATTTGGGACATCCAAAACTTGGCAGAAGAGGGGAGCTGCTGTCTGCCTTCCCCTTTCTCATCACTCTGCACCAAACCAACAACAAAAAAGGGGTACAGAAAATTAATTAATCACAAATATCCCTAAGGTCCTGCAGAAATTGACCATCTTTCTTCCAGTAAAATAAATGAGGACCATTTTTTAAGTGTTTCAGTAGTCCTTCACAGTAAAGTACTTCATAGGCATTAATTAATCCTGGAAGTGAAATCTGATTATTTAAAATGTGTACGTTTTAAGAAGTTTCTAAGATTATTCAATAGATATCAATAATAAAATAAATTGGTCTGCATAACAAAAGTGAGCATGGTAATTGGATAAGCATATTATCTGGATACTCTCCTACTACAGGTGATCATTTTCGTTATTGCCAGTCTGTCAGCACTGTAGAAGTACAAGCTCAGTGGCAGATCTTCATGGAGGGCTTTTTCTCTGAATTCTGAACTGCTTACTGCAAAAAGTCAAAGTTCAAATGAATCCTGGATTGCATGGTAAATACATTTCCTGATTGATTTACAGAGCTATCAATTTAAAAAAAAAAAAATCAACCAAATTCCAGAAGCTTTTGTAATTAAAGTGTTGGAAGCAAGTCAGAAATTGTCAGACAAAGCTTGCTGATAGGAACACACAAAAGAATTGAAGAATAATTCCAGAACTGAGGAAATGAGTATAGTTTTCCTGCTTTCTTCCTGGTACAAATTCTGCCTTTCTTTATATAGCTGAATAATGTTAAAACTATTGTTATATACACAGTAGTAAAAACTACACCATTTAGAAGAACTCAGTATTGAAACAATCATTTCTCTTAAAATAACTGACGTTTTCTCACACTGTATCATTCATGATTACAAAATACACGTGCAGATATAAATCAGCCACAAGGCGTAATTTAAATCGTAACAACGAACTGATTCTTCGTGCGCAGAAGGTCGTGCGGAGCAGCTTTACAGCAGAACCTGGGACGAGCAGGATAAAAAGAAAACACCGCGATCTTGCAAGTCAACCGAGTTCAGCAGAGCACCTATTTTTGTGTGACGTTGAGCACGGAGTGTTCCTGAGTCACTGGGTATGATGCCTGCCTGCCTACGCTCGGTGCCTGTCAGCACACAGCACCGTGCGTGCGCAGGGAAAAACGTAAACCCAAGCCCCAGTAAAGCCAGGTGTACTCACAGGCATCTGGATCACCCTCAGGGACAGGCAGACATTCCCAAAGACATCAAGGCAGAAGCGGAATTCCAGAGCTACCTGGCTGGCTAAAATGCATCTACACGATGAACTCGTTTGCTCTGCCAAGAAGCAGGGAGCTGCCTGTTATCTCATCAACTTAATCTAAAACCAGAACACGTACTTTTACGTGCCGCTGCAGCACGTGGCCCAGTCCCACCCTAAGCTGACCCAAGAACGGCTAGAAGAAAGCTGATAGGTTTCTCTCTTAACATTGACCAAGATCACTCCCTTTGCTTTTGTATATTTGCTCTAAAGTATCATAATACAAAGTTATTTTTAAAGGATTTCATTTAGTAAGCTCACACAATAAATGCATAAAAAAGAACTACTATTCAGGAGGCCAGATTCTAGACTATGTTGGGAGAGCTCAGTTTCTTTCACCTGCAGAGGAACATCTCCCACCCCCAAAAGTGCACTCCCTGCTTCACCACCATGATTCTGTATCTTTCCAGCTGTAACACGGTTAAGAAGGACCAGCTTAAAAAAGCCCAGCTGCCAAGAGACAAGGAGTGAGCACACAGTACTTCAAGCTTGTTCTTTTCCGCCAGGTCTGCAGTAATAAATTCAACCCATTTGCACCAAAACATAAAAAGAATGGTATCACACATTGAGAAACAGAAGAATAGATTTTAATCAACCCATCATCCAACAAACGCATCTGTTTTATTTTGCTACCGAACACAACATTTTTGGTTTAACTCTACCCATGGTTGTCAGCAGCCTCCTCCTTCAGAAGCCTGCAGATTTTCTAGATACTCAGTGACAGCCTCTATCTCTGCAAACTCCAGTAGTCTGTTGATTAGCTTATCCAGGGCTTCTTTCCCATATAGAACTTCCTATGAAGAAAAAAAGCAGGTGAAAGCACTACTGACTGCACTTCAGTACTGTTCTGAAATGCTGACTACTCCAACAAGGAGCCCCTGAAATGCTCTTTGCCTGCAGCCCCTCCACTTGCTCACCCTTGCAGCTTCCCCGTTTGAAAGCAACATGTGGTGGACAGCAGCGGGGCTTGGCTGGCTGCCTGTGAAAGGCACATTGGTTCTGGAACAAGAAAAGTTGCTACCGGTGCCTTCCCACCACATTTCCATGTAACCCGTATGCTTACATGAAAATCCCCTACAAGAACAATCAAAGACTGAAGAACCTAATTCTAATGCTGTTGTCTGTGCCAAAAACTAGGCTGTTCTGAAAGCAAAGCTCAACTAACTTATGTTGGTCAATTTATGTCTCCAGTTTCACTCAAAAAAGTAACAAGTTCCCAGCATGAATTAACTGACTAACAAAAGTCACCTTTATGCAATCATGGAACTATTTCCTCCACCACGGTATTCTGCACTCCATTAAATATGAACCATTCCATATTCAGCATGCCCTGTAGTCTCTGGATTTACCCAGGACACATGTGGGTACAGTCTGAAAAGTATTGCTCCTTATGCAATAGCACTTACAGCAAACTGGATACCTAAGCCAAAATATCAAGGGATCACCCTAAACTTTGTTTTGACATTCAAAACATTTACATAAATTTAAAACTCAAAAATCTATTATCAGGAGTCTTTTTCACTGTTAAAAAACTGCAATAAATTGAATCATGGAACCATAGAATAGCCTGGGTTAAAAAGGACCTTAAAGATCCTCTAGCTGGAATCCCCCTGCTGTGGGCAGGGACAACTTTCACTAGACCAGGTTGCTCAAAATTCCATCCAACCTGGCCTTGAACACTTACAGGGATAGGGCATCCACAGCTTCTCTGGGCAACCTGCTCCAATGCCTCACCACCCTCACAGTAAAGGACTTTTTCCTAATACCTAATCTAAACATAGCCTCTTTCAGTTTGAACCCATTCCTCCTCGTTCTGTCACTACCTGCCCTTGTAAAAAGTCTCCACCTTTCCTGAAGGCTTCCTTTGGATACTGGAATGATGCAATTAGGTCACCCCAGAGCCTTCTCTTTTTCAGGCTGAACAATCAATAAGATTCAAGCTATATGTAGATATTTACTCAGAAAAAAGATCTCAGGTAATCTTAAAATGAAAACAATTCAGTTTCAGTTTCTTTTAAGTGTGACCTCTGAGGCAAACATAAAAGTATCTTTGTTTTTCACCTCAGCTTCAGGAGGAGGAAAGAATGGCTTAACATAAATAAGAAGTCCTTCATGTCAGGTTTTTCTTTTGGATGTACTATGCTTCCAGAATCTCAAATGTCACTTGCCCAGTTTGGCTGAGAGACTCGTGGAGCTCATTGAGGACCACATGCTTGATCATTTTCCACTCATATAGTAGGAGAAAAATACACAGAGAAGTAGGCCAGTGAGCTATAGCCTGTGTCAGTAATCTCTAATACTACAAGAAGGCAGGAAACAAAGTTTAAGCTTTCTACATCTACAATGTTCTGTCAGAGCACAGCTGGCTACTTTCTTCATGTATATATATTAAATTATTTTCATAAGTTAATTTTTTCTTCTTATGGTATACATAAGTATCTAACCTTAAATACTTTTATAAGCAACCATTACCTTGATATTTCGTGCCTCATATGAGATCCTGTGGTCAGTGACTCTATCCTGGGTGAAGTTATAAGTACGAATTCTTTCTGACTGGGCTCTTGTTCCCAACTGTAGCAAAGCAGCAAAAAACAAATTCTGTTATGTCTTAAAAAAATCAAGTACTTCTCTAGAACAGCATATTTGGAATAAACTTTAATGGATGAGCCTGTTTCAACCACAAGCCTAGCAGTCACTGGCTTAGCATATGGGTTTTTTTAATTATTAAACTGTATTGTTTGTGATTCTGTATCACAGGCCAAGTTTTCATATCCTCCAGCACATTTCCGTTCCTGTTCTGTAGCTGGAAGAACTACTTAACTCTCAAAAGTCATGTAAGGCAAGAGATACGTCTATATGAGTCCTTAGTTCCAAAATGTAAGTATTTTTCCTTTTTTTGGGGTTATAGCTCCCACAAAAAAATTATGAAAGCAGTCTACATTAAAAACAGAAGCAGCACAGCCACAGCGTGGCTATCAGAAATTAGCACCGAAAGAGTAAACTGGGAGCGAGAAGTTAAGTTACCCTCTAGTGGTAAAGAGCGAGAGTGCAAGCAGCGCTCATCTGCACTCAACATGTGTAATTCAAAACAAGGGACTTCTGGGATAAATTCTGAGATATTAGGAAAGGTAAGTCACTTTTGCCTGATTTTCCACAGTTTTTATATAAAGGTTCATCTAAGCCCTTTATGCAACTTTGAAGACTCTTGAGTTGAAATTAATAACAAAAGATATGTGGCCCACTGCTTGCAACGATGGGAGAATACTCTGAAGGAAAAATACATGTAAATACAACGTGAAATTAGCAATTAAATAGCTAAGCTATGGAGTACTGAGTAATTTTCTAATTCTGAAGGTTTTTGTTCCCATTGATCACTGTTGAATTTTGTACCACAGATGGGAAAATACTCAAAGAACGATAGGACATTTTGAGAGAAAAGCACACTTTGCAGCCTAACTTGATGTAACTCTTAGGGAAGCTGTTTCTTCCTTAAAAGGTTACCTAAACCATACCAAATAAACTGCTACCTAAGTGGCAGGATTGTTTATCTACTTGTTTCTTTCAAAAGCTCTGTAAGGCAATATCAAATACTCTGGTTTAGAAACTTCTGAGAACTTCTGATCCTAGGTTTCCATGATTTTTTATGAAAAATAACTTTTTAATAATGCTTTATTTGTGTAACTCTGGCCTTAACACGGACATTCAATACATGATGTTGAGTTTTGCCTCTTGGATAATTCCAGTCTTTTGACTCTTTTGTTTCCAGCCACATGTCTCTTTTCATTGCCTAAGAAGTCTACAATAGTGTGTAACTGGGATAAGTAGAAACAGACTTACCATTTAAAAAAAAAAAAAATACATGATTTTCCCTTGTAAGCACACCTGGTTAGACACACACTCTTCCTTGCTCTGTCACAACCACTCTAAAAGATCAGAAACAAATCTACAGCACAGCACCTCTCTGAATCTCAGCTATCATACGTCCTCACCTGCAGTTTTCTGGCACTCTGCTCTTGACTTAGTTGTTTTTCAATGATCTGCTGGTACAGCTTAGCTCTCAGTGTCCGCAGAGCTATTTCCTTGTTCAGCTGCTGTGACCGCTCCTGCTGGCACTCCACTGCCAGTCCTTTACAGAGGGATTCAAGAGCTCAGACCAAAAGCCCATTACAACAAAGAACAAACAAGCTAAATTAATTCTAGCACATTAGGCAAATGAAACCTACTGGAGTGCTGGTTTGTAGGGCCTTTCAGCTGTGGGATAAAAAGTCATTTTAACACACTGGCCAGAACCATTAGTGCATTTTTAAACTTGTCACAGCTGCACCGGAGGCTTTTGTTTAGTGCTATAGAAAAGTCAAGGATATTTTAAAATTTCATGAAGCAAACAAGTTTCTGACATTGCCTCCAGAAAAGGGGTTCAGTCCAATTAGCTGTCATATGTTAAAAATGCAATTTGAACAGTCTACAGAAGCATGTTTAAAATAGTGTAACACACGTTTTTAAAGTCTTAGTCCAGATAAGCTCTAGGAGACTGGAAAGTTCATTATTCTAGCACAAAAAGGTTCCTAATCAACACTGGTGACTCTAGAACTATGAATAATGAAATAAAGCAAAATAATGGTCTTTAAAAGAAATGTAGTACTTATTTTTACTTCTCATTTGATTTCTGAAAGAAAAAGGCACATAGGAAACAGCTGTTTTCAGGTCACTACTGGAATTTCCTGTGCCTAAAGAGATTCTGCAAATGGACAGATAGAAGCTCACTGAATTTCAATAAAAACAAATCCTGAGAGTGGCCCAGTCTACACATTACCTTCCCATCAGTATACATTTTCCTTCCTATTCAACATATGATAGCATTATCTAGTACTGAATGAAAAAGTCGTCTTTTTTGTCAGTCATGTAACTACACAGGTTCCAGCCAAGCAAAGTGTGCCCAGGGTTGCCAGTGGCCATTATTCCTGAGGGTACAGTGCACACAGCGCAAATCATTTACATCTTCCATCCCATCCCTGTCACCCTCCATTTGTTCTTTCATCCGTCAAAGACAGTGTATTCAATAAACACTCCCTCTGAAGACAAAACTGGCATAATCGTTGTGCCACTGGTACACAGCCCTTCTCTCACGTGTTGCCTTGCTACAAAAGAGAGGCAGAAACCAGAAAGGGTTTTCTTTCTTTGGTATAGGGTCCAACCTGCAAGAGGCAACTTGCAGGGTTCAGGATACAGGTTCAGGATACAGATTTCATGTGATTAGAAGTACGAAATACAGCCAGACTTACCTGTGGGAAGGTGTACAATTCTCACAGCACTATCAGTTTTGTTAACGTGTTGCCCTCCTGCTCCTTTGGCCCTGAATGTATCTATACGCAAATCTTTGGGATCCACTTTAATATCAACCTAGAATCAAAGAAAATTACTACTTCCTCCTCACTCTAAAAATGTTTGAATGTCAATGATACTCAGCATTAAAAAAAAAAAAAAACACTTCTCAAAAACTTGCTCCTCTACACCTGTCCTGAGTAACACCTATAATCATTATAACTTAAAAAATGCAGTGTCAAAAATCTCTGAAAAGCAAGTGATACTTTAAATATTTCACTTATTTTTTCAAACTCTTACTCCAGGTCCTTCACAAGACAAGGTGGGGGTGGGGGGTGAAAGAAAACAAAATCAATGTTTTGTAAAACCACTCGCTTTGGCAGGGAGACTAAAAAATAAGCACATATTTAAAAACTACTGCTAAACAGCAGTGCAAAGATCTTGTTCATGAGTTAAGCGTGAATGATTCCTGCAACAGTACGTAGAATCACCTAACTGAGGAAAAAAAATAGGTATATCCAGATTCATCCAAGTAAGGATTGCCACATTGGAAATACAAGTCCATGATGACCTGGACCATAGTTTGAGCTCAGTGGATGGGAAAGGAACGTTCAGATCTGATCAGTGTGGCAAGGAAAGTATTACAAAGAAGCAGGAAAAGCCTATAGGATCTAGGTTTGTTAATTTTGTGTGTAAATTGCTGGTTTAAGTAAAAACTATTGGTATCACTGAGATCTCAGAAAGACTAGCCAACACACTCATTCAAATTCAAAGGAGACTGTCCTCGATTTAACAGAGAAGGACATCAATAATTTAAATGAAACAAAAAAAAAATCAAAAGGACCTGCAGAATCACATTAATATGCAACACTGAGTATTTTCTTGGACATATTCCCTGTATTAATACAAGATGTAATTTAAAATTGGCTTACTCATAGCAGTGAGCCTTGCCAGTGTTGGGGCTGGAACACTTAATGAAATTATCATTCATTTACATGCCATTTTGGGCAACAGCAAATCTCTGCAAAGTTGGTTCTGATGATCCATTTACACATGTAAGGTACAGAGCCAAGGATATCACCTTCCAGAGTCAGAGCACTTGTGGTTCATTTGCTGGGACTTGCACAAAGCACTTGGGTTTCGATGAAATCCCCAGAACAGTAACATGCTTTTAAATAACACCCAGTCCAATGCCAAAATAGGTGAGTGAGGATACAACATCACCTTACCACCTCAATTAACAGTTTACCTCCTCTGGCTGAGGGAGGACAATAACTGACATTGTCCCAGTGTGGATACGCTGCATTCTTGACGACATGCCCGTCTCGGGGATTCGCTGGACTCGATGAGTCCCTCCTTCATATTTCAGATGCCTGTAGACATCCTCTCCTGAAATATGAGCAGCAGCATGATGCAACCCTCCTAGAGAGACAAACAGTGTGTGACAAATATAGCACAGAAACACTGCCTTTAGTTTCATTGTCTTGGTGGAATGTCTGAAGAACTACTGTACCTATCTCAGCTGGCGTATAGTTCACAATGTCAAAGGTCCAACGTTTGTAGTCTGCATAGTTCTGGTACATCTCAAACATTTCTTTAGTGAACTGCTGGCAGATGTCTCCTAAAAATATAAAGGCACTGCAACATAAACAGCAGTTCACAAAATGGCAGTCACCAGTTTTTAGATTTAGCTGCAACTCTAACCCTGTCATTACACAGGTTAATGCTCATCTTTAGAAAGCATTACTTAATGCCAATAAAGTATAAAAAAGCATTAATAATAACCCATAAGAGGTTCAATAAAGTTGGATGGAGGTTTGAAGCAATCTTCACTGTAGGGACTTTGCTGACCTCCAGTTGTTCTGCCAGCTGTCACTTCCAATATGACAGGACTTCCATCATATTTATCCTTTGGCACTAGAAGCTGGAAAAGCTGAAAAAAAAAAAAAAGAATGCTATTATCTCCTTCATGACTCTCTATCTCCTCTTAATCAAATTTACAGCCATCCTTTGCAACTGCCACAGCTTCAGCTCACACAACCACTAATTTTCTTTGGCAAGTTAGTTAAGGAGGACTAAAAAACTGTCCAATGGCCATTGCAACTCAGTGCGGCCAGCGTGGAAATGGGATATGCTGGTGCATCCACATGAAAATTCAGTCCTGCAAAGTCAGGTGTCAGGTCACCCCCTGCCAGCCCCAGCTACCTATGAACACAAAGTTATTAGCTAACCCCCAATCTTTGCATTAATCTTATTTTTCAGAAAGTGCCATTTCATATTATTTCAGCCTGAACATAGAAATGAGCCCAAACACAGAAGTTCCCACTGAATTGTTTAGCTTCTCTGCTTACAATTAATTTTCCCGCTCATGTGGTGCTTTCAGCTGAAGGGAAAATGAAAGGTTCCAATCAGAAATGTTTCAAGAATGCACGTTCTGCTGCCACAAACAGTTACTAGGGTGTCACATTATGTCTCAGTAGCACACACTCACCATTTTCTTAATCCCCTTCAGCATTTGCAGACAGACAAGCAAGGAAGAAAAATTACTAAAATAATCAGCTTCTGAGACACAATTGTCACTAAGAAGCTTACTAATAATTAATGCTGCCACTTCTTTTCATGGAGAATACAGAAGCTGGACTTCTGTTTCATCTAACACAAGTGTCAGTCTATTGGTAAGATCACAAAGGGAAGTTTTTCTGACATCTTTATTTACAAAGCTGTAAAACTTTACCTCAGGCTCACCTTTCTGCACAACAGGTTCATTTTTTCATCCAGAGTTTCCTTCTCTTCTAAGGCAAGCTCTAGAAGTTGTTTCTCATCTCTCCTGTCTAGCTCTAAATTTCAAGAACATGAATAGATGTTAGCCAATCTCACCTAGCTTAGAGCAAACTATAACGCAGCCACCCAAAGACATGGACTGCAGCACATAAAAGCTTGCAGCATTTTGCCAGCATGAAATATCAAGTAAGAGCTGCCCAAGCCATGATGTGCCTTGCTAACTAAATGACCATATTTTCCAGGTGTTCTGGAAGGAGTAGCAGATATCCTACCTGTGATTAGACTGCCCCCTCCCACATTTTAGAGCTTACTAACAAACTACGAAACATTCTCAGGTAAAGCTTAAAGAAGCTCCAAAGCTTTTCTGCTACGGAGACTCCAATTTACAATAACTAAAAATGTTGATCAGTTAGCATTCGATTATATACTAAGTAGAAACTTGGAAGACAGTTGGAGTCAAGTGGAACAACACTGCTAAAACAGGGAGCATCCTCTCCTTTTATCTTTATTCTCACTGTTCTACCTGCTGAGGAGTGGCTCTGTCACTCATCAGAAAGTAAAACAATTCAACTCACCAGAAGAAATAAAACAAGTCTGGTTAAACAAATACATGTTTTACCATGCCAAGTTGAACTGGATTTAAATTACAACTGGACAATTACTAGCACAAATGAGGGAATGGGCAAAGACAGCTTTAAACAGCCAGTAGTGAGAGCAAGGGAAGAAAGCAACAAAGAGGAGGAGAAAGCCTTTTGCCTTGTGACCAGCACAGAAACCATAAGTCTGCCTCAGATGCAGCATAAATCTGGACACTCAATCCCTGAATGCATCTCCTCACCTTGCAGGACCTGAGCTCTGGACTCTGCAGCAGGAATTGGGTATCCCAAGGGCAGGCACAAGGACCATGGGCTCCACATCACTGGACATATGGAGCCTGGTTCCCCTTCGCAGCAGCCAACACACACACACACACACACACAGATTTACTGGCGGTCTCAGCAACAACCCTTGAGAACTAAATGGGCTGGGATGTTGAATCAGCTTTGTATCCTGGGCAAGGACAGCAGCAGCTCCTCCATATCACAGTTTTTAAGGTATGCTCTGGGGTTTTTCTCCTTAAATAAAATATGTCAGATCAAGACTTGAACCTGGCATCTCCTGTGCATAAGGCAAGAATCACAGAATGGGTAAGGTTGGAAAGGACCACCCATGGGGTCATCTAGTCTAGCCTCCCTGCTCAATCAGGGTCATCCTAAAGCACGTGGCACAGGATTGTGTCTAGATGGTTCTTGAATATCTTCAGTGAGGGAGATTCCATAACCTCTCAGGGTAATCTGTTCCAGTGCATGGTCACTTGCACAGTAAAGAAGTTCTTCCTCATATTCAGGTGGAACCTCCTGTGCATCAGTTTCTGCCCACTGCCTCTTGTCCTATGGCTTGGCACCACCAGGAAGAGCCTGGCTTCATTCCCTTGACACCTTCCCTTCAGATACTTGTATACATTGATAAGGTCCCCGCTCAGAACTGTAAAAATTTCCCTGCCAGTATGTCACAACTCCAAGCCAAAACTGTTACTGACTCAAAGGCTTCTAGCTGGTCCAAAAAGTATGATTATTGACCAGTCACATACAGAGTATCAAATTAACTACTGTCAGCAGAGGCGAGAGAATGGTCGGGTGGTGACCAGTAAGCTTAAGGTTTGAAGGATTGGTACCCCATTCCTACCTCCCTGTAAAACAGAATTCACCCAATCTACCCCATGACTCACATCACCAGTGGCAAATTGGGAAATATTTTTCTGCTTCACTGAGTGTTGCAAATACAAAATCCTACATCAATAGTGAGAAATTCAGGTACTAGGGAGAAGAGGGTCAGTTAGGGAGCTAAATGTAAAAAAAGAGCAGTCAAATGAAAGAAACATCCGTGTTTTAACTTGGCCACGCAATAAACAGTACAGATAAAATAATTTGGCTCCATTTAATTAATTTATTGGCTGCAATTATTCTTTTCCCTTCTTTAAGTAGAACACACTGTATACATCCACATCGCAATTTATGGAATTGGAAAAATTCTTCATTTTATTTACTTGATCCAAAAATAGCCTTTTTAAGTTGCAGTATGAATTTTCCAGAGTTTTCTTAATACTTTCTAATTCTTTCAAGAATATTTCCTTTTCAGAATAAATTTCTGTCCCTCGTCTCCTTCACTCTTTCTCCTTTTTTCACCAGTGAAGAGAATTAGAGAGGTTTGAGGATTAAAACATTTTAAATAACTATTTTTTCCAAAAGCACAAACAGTTACTTATTTCTAAAACTAAAGGATACAACTGTTTTCCACCTTTCTAAATAAGTTAGAATTTCACCAGTTTTATTTTATTATGGCTTCTATTGTTTTGTCAACACCCCTCAGCTCTCTCTCTCTGAAAAGCACCATGAACTTTTGTTCTCCATTTACACTACTGGGTACCGATTTCTCCTGTCCTTTGTTTTTCCCTTCCTTCACTGCTTTAACCTAAGCCCCACTCTCTCCAGGTCAGTGTTTCCCTCTCTGGGCTTAATACTTACTGGTGTGGCAGAACTGATGCCATTTTTCCTTTCCTACTGTGTGCACCTCCTCACACGTCTAGCAATGATCGGTTTTTTCTCCCAAATGTTGCATCATTACTTATTTTATAAATTCTTCTATTTCCCATGTACTTTCTTATTCCCAAATGGTACAAAAACCAGCAACAATTTTTAATTCCTTTTTACCCCAACTTCTACTGTAGCAGAGTATTGAAATGCAACAGCTTCTTAGACAACCATCAGATTTATTCCTTAAAGGACTCCTCAAATATTTTCAAAGAAATACTAGCTTTTGCCACTTAAATTGGAAGCTGACAATTCAGAGCCTAATGAAAGTTCATGTAATTTGCTCAATAAATATCAATGAACTAGCCAGATGGACTCCCATTTTAAATAACACACATGAGGTCTGCATCTATCAAATGTTTCAGGCTCAGTAAATACTTTGCTTCAGTTCAAACTGCTCTCAGTTCTACCAAAAAACACAACCTTAACACAAACACTTTCCAGCCATTTCTGATAGACAGATGACCGTAAGGTTCCAGACGATCCCTACTCCTAGATTGACTGTATTAAGACCATAAACTAAAGCGAAGTGAGATGAAAAATGGAAGGATGTGGCTGGATGCAGAAAATCCAGGAGCAGGAAGGATCAGAGCGTGTTCCAGGGCTGGCTGAACTTATTCACAAGCTTTCCTCAAAGGCTGGGCAATTGAACTTTATCACAAACACAGTTACTGTTTTGAAACATTTACTGTTTTGAAATTGTTCTCCTTACCTTTGCACATAGCTTCTAACTCCTGAACTTCTTTTTCAGCTTCTTTGATTTCTTGAAATGCAGCTGCAATGGGGGACAGATCGGCATATCTTCTCCTCAGGGTTCTTTGCTCAAAGTCATTCAACGAGTCTGCCTTTAACAGATGACTAACCTGCTGGTATTCCTTGCTTAAAGTCTCCAGATACTTCTGCACAGCCTCATGCTTCCACAGAGCTTGAGAATCCTGATGGATTTTCCTATGCCGACTGTTAAAAGACAGAGTGAATCTAGCTGTGTCCAATAAAGACTTTGGCCTCCAAAATCCATGGTTGTGCAGCCCCACCACACAGCCTATCTTCTTTGCAAGGGGAGGGAGAAGACAGCTGTGAAATTGACTGTGACAGTAGCAATTGACAAGCAGGTTCTTGAACCGACAGACGCTTCGGAAAGCTTTCATTTTGTTTCTTATTTTTCCACCACCTGAAATTAAAAGTAGACAGTGTTATCATCTAGAAAAAGAAAGCATTCTACTGAAAAAAACCCCACAACAACAAACAAATGCAAGAGCTGTATCAAGCCCCAATACTAGTTTTGATTACACCAACACAAATGCAACTGTCATGGACAAAACTATTCCTGTTTTAGTCCTGGTTTAAATTCTTACCAACACCATTGTACTGACTGAGGACTGGAAAAGGTCTCTTCTCTCACCTCCTCAAACGGTTTATTTATGCTGGAAAAGCTACTGTAGATGTGGCTTTACAGACAACAGCTTCATTTTGCCAGATGTCTCATCGGAAAAATCCAACCATTTCATGCCTTACTGGCAAAAGAAAAATGTTGCCGAGAAGACAAATCTATACTAGAGGTAAAGAAGTCTATATACAGAATGTATGAAATGTCCAGGATTACGTGCCAAGGTATATCCACTACCATAACAGGAGGACATTAGTAGCTGACCACACAACAGATTAGTCAATAGGACTGCAACACACTTGCAAGAAATCACTCTCCCATATATGCAGAAGGTGAGACACGGGAACAGTGCTCTATGTCGTCCCCCTCCTCCTTACCATGATATATTTACATGTAAGTGACATAATATTTTCCATCCAAAAAGTAAGAAGTGGGTACTCTGAAATACAACTCCTGTATTTTTCTGTGACACTTGGCCTACAGTTTTTCAGGACACATGCTCCCCTTAGCATCACTACTGCTCTAGAAAAGATCTTTTCCTCTTAATTTTGTACCATCAACATTGCAAACTATGCTATGAATTACTACTGTGCTCTGAAATTTTATATTGGAGCACAAGGGTCTACCAGGTAGACTAAATTGAGATCATCCATATTCTAGGACTACTCACACAGAAAAGATTTAACAAAGAAGTGCTCCCTAATAACTCTGCCATTGCCACAGTCCCATCTGCCTGCTGATTTTTACAAAGAATTGGACTCAGAGAAAATAAGAGCATGAACATTTTTGCAGCAGGGTTTCCTTGGAAGATACATTTCAGTTTCCTGACACAATTATGTTTTACTCATCAGTGACAAGACCTTCTGTGCATCTTCAGGCTTTTTATTAACACACTACTGTGACACTCTGCCTACTCAACTCACCCATTATTCTCACCTGTTTACTTTCATCCATTTGTCCACAACGAAGAAAGAGCAATATGCAGCAAACCCAGAAGTACTGCACCTTGCTTGCCTGGATGCCTGTTTTACTATCTACAGAAGGAGACAAGGACCTTTTTTCTACTTCTGCACTTTCCCAGATTCCCCAGCCAGCAGGTGCTATTGAAGCCACAGTGGTAATTTCAGGACTGCTCTAACATACAGAAAGCCAATTATACCCCTCATGGATTGCTCTAGTGACTAAAACCAGCTGTAGCAGAGATCCTGTTCCCTTTACTTGAACACAGCAAAAGGCACAAACTGTGCTCATTATCTACAATCCTGGATTTAGCTGCTCAGGGGCATGAGTGGACTCAGTTCCAAAAGACCTAACTCTGCCTGCTGATGATATTGGAATTGCTCCAGGTTAGCATGGCCCACTGTTGTCTGGTCAAGTGCTAACCATCATTAACTCAGTTTTACAATACTAATGTTACATTTAATTTTAATTAATTAATTAAATGTATTAATTATAACCATCTAACTAATTTTTACCGGTGTAGTTAAAAAGTAATGTACTCAAATAATAATAGATGTGTAGTATTGCTTCGCCTGAGAACCCAGAAATTAAAATTCTTAGTTTGAAATGCCTAAAAAAAATGAGTAATGGCATGACACAGACCCTTAGTGAAGTTGGAAATTTCAAAGTAATTTTGCTATGCTAAATAAAGCTGGTATCTTTTTCTCAGGCAGATGTTGCCGCATTACGTTTGTGCAGAAATAAGCACACACAAAGCCTTTATAGAGCTATGAGCAGTAGACGACCCATTAAATGCTTTCCAAAACAGATTTTAATAACTTTTTTACTTCACAAAATTACCTTGTGCACATCACAAATCAAAACCGGTAAGCAAAAGTGACAACTGTAATTGTCTCATTAAAATAATAATAATTTATGAAATTGTAATTTCAAGACAGGAAAGAGCTGTCAACACTGCGAACGCTTTAAGAGGTTATAAAAAGCGTTTCTAGCTATCACAGATGCTAGTAACTGCACGCAGCTGAACTGAGGCAGAGAGGAATACGCAGCAGGATGTGCTTCAGTGCACACAGACTGCACCAGGGCCAGCTGGAGGCCGCGCCCCCGGGGCCACCTTACACACACCTCTGCCCCCCACCACGGCTACCCCGAGCAAACCCCCGAACGCCCCGCAGGACGCCCCCCCGGCAGCAGGGGTGACGGTGGGACAGGGCAGGCAGGAGCAGGGAGCCGCAGGGAGAGCCAGGAGCCCAAGCCAGAGCAGGGAGCCCCGGAGGCGGCGGCGGCAGCGCGGGGGGCTCCGCTCCCCGGACCCGCCCGGAGCTCTGGCACTCACCGTCCGCACACACGGGCGCTGCACCGATCCTGCCTCCACACGCGAGGCCATGGCGCACGGGAAGTAGAGCGGGCGAACTCCCAGTCCCAGCATGCCTTCGGGAAACCAGGGTTCCCGGCGTGCTGCCGGCCGGCCGGCCCCCAGCGGCACGGCGGGACCGGCGTCTGCGGGCAGCGCCTGAGCCCTGCCAGCGGGAGAGGCAGCCTCTGCCTCTAATGTGCGAAACGCAAGCCCCGAAATAATAATAAAAAAAAATAAATAAAAAAAAAAAGGGGAATGTGAGCTTAAAAACAGGTCTTCGTTTTCGGTACCTTCCTCAGAGCTGCACAGTAACACACCGTGACTTCAGCAACACCTTCGGGAGGAATAGCAAGAGTCAGATCAAATTACACACGCGTCATTCCATGTATTTTCCCCAAAACGTGGCCTGAAAATAAGCATTGTTTCAAATCTGGTTATTAAAAGATTAATTTCACAGAAGTCTGAATAAAATAAAATTAATTTCCACTTTATGTCAAAGCTCACTATTCTTTTTAAAACGAATTATTACTATGCTACTAAAGACAAACACTGGTTACAAAATATTAACCATTTCGATTATCACTGTGCTAGTAGGCTGCAGTTTCTTAATAACGTATGTTTCAAAACACACTATGTATATGTACATTTTATTAGATAATATTAAATAGATTATACAACTACGTCCCTAATTAAAATTTTAAAAATACTTTAATAGCATTGGGTTTTGTTTACCTATAATCACTTAAAAAAACCTTTCTTCCCAGCTACTGGCATTCAACAAGATATTAAAAAAAAAAAAAAAAGGCAAAACTTTGGGTTTTAGCATGTAAAACATCACTCGGGTTTGGTGTGGTAAATATTCCAAAAGACTGAAAACTAAGACTGGTCGATGGGGAGAATTTGGATCAAAACCCAGAGCATGAATGACAGCTAACTGCTTGCTTAGACCTGAGGACAGGGTCTGCCCCACCCCCTGGGACAGAAGACAAGGCAGACGGAGGTACAGGCTCTTCCAGAGAACAGGACCCACCCCAGAGCTGGTCCAATCTACAGAAGGGCCACAGCAAACAGCACCCTGAAACATCCAAGTTGCTTCCCCAGGTCCGAGCCTGCAGTGATGTGCCATGAGCGATGGCATCAGCCAGATGCCATCCCCACTTGTGCCTCACTCATCTTTCACTATGACTTTTGGGACTCAGTGAAATGAAATAATAAAATTACATTTGCATTGGTAAGTATCAAATATGCAGTTAGATACTTAGGAATCTTGAGAAGGTAATCTGTGGGAGGACAACCAAGAACCTAATAAGAACATGAAACTGCAAGCAGACCACATGCTTCAAAACTGGTTTCAAAAGAAGAGGGTAGGCCAAGGAAAATCAAATCAGCTTCTACTCCAGCCAGTAATGGTTCTTGCATTAAATCCTCTGATTAAATGTGATCATGGTTCAATTTTTATTGTGCCCTGTGAGTGAATTCTTCAAGTTTCCTGTGAATATAGAGACCATAACAAACTCCCACACCCCCCTCTACCCATCAGGCAGCAGATCAGATACACTCTTTCCCTAAGTTTACTGTATGTTTTTAGACTGCAAATAGGAACAGAGCATGAGGTATGGAAAATTGCATTGCTGCCTGTGCTTCCACACCTCTCACAGTTTGTTTTCATGCCTTAAAATCTGCGTGGCTGATGCAGCAGCTGGTGAGGACCAGGGATTATGGAGCATGGGCTGCTTGGGGCAGGGTGCCACTGCCTTCCTCAGCAACCATGGCAGCCTGCAGGGCCATCGGAGGCAGAAGGCAAGAGTGACAGCAAAAAGGCAGCCGGTCTTCAGGGTTTTGGGACAGAGATGGTGGTCCTGTACTTTAAAACCTGGCAATCTCAACCTGCCAATTGCTCTAGAAACTGGAGGCAGAGAAATGGCTCATCAGACAGAACAGGCTCCAGGCTTTACAACATGCTTGCCTCGAAGGCAGGTCCATGCCTACACGAAGGCCCTTTTTCGATCAGGGGGCCCTGGTTGAGTTTAACAATGTGCAAGCACTTTGCCACAACTTCTACAGGGCATGGAGTAAACTGAGCTACAGGGCAAAAACAAAAAACAAAAAAAAAAATCACAATCTTGTTACAATGTATAGATCACTTTAATATGTCTTCCCCCTTTCAGCCCAAACAGATGTCAACCGACTTCTGAATTCCTTCTGTTTGAAGAAAAAACCGGTGACAGAATCATACGCGTCTTGAATACAGTCCTGTTTATTAACAAAGCCTGTAGCAAGAGCTTTGTTTTGCCCAGCACAGTGGGATTAAATGACAAGAAGTTTTCTTGACTGCGCTCCCAAACCTCACTTTCAACTGGAGCCCTGCCTCCCTGCAAAGCTCATTTCTTTGTTTATTCTCTCTCGGCTAGTCTACAAACGCTCCTTTTATTGCCTCCCCGCTTTTCTTTTCTTGCTGCTTTTAGCACAGACTTCTAATATGGACACATCTAAATGCAAATTGAACCCCTGCCTCTTATTTGCAATTCGCCTGTTTTCAGGCAGCATTCTTTCCAGTGTTTGGACTAGCGGAGAAACGGATCCCTTTAACTGTCAAGAGCAGCCTTACTTCTTCAGACCAAAGGTCCACCTAGCATAATATTTGCCTGACCCATCTCCGTGATGCATCTGTTTATCACTCAACCCAGCCAGAGGCAAAAGCATGCCTTTTGCTAAGGCAGAAACTAGAGTTCATAAATTCAAGGCTTCAGCTAGTTATAAAAAATGCTGAAGACATGCCACGGTACAAACAGGCTCTCAAAATGATGCTGCAGGGCAAAGCCAAGTTGGCCATCCCTGTCAACAATTCTCCTGCTTTGTAAAAATCAGACCCAGTACAACACTACTATACCACACAGCAGAAAGAAGAGTGAATTGGGTACTGAGTGTGGAAAATACACTTATTGTTCTCAGTGACCCAGGTGACTGACATCATTTAAAAGCATGCCAGAACACAAAAAGTGAGAAATAAATACAATAAAGATATTCCTTATTACAGACCATATGTCTAGACAGATTAACAAAACACCATGAAAACCAACTACCATTCATAAAAAAACAGTGGTCATAAGCTAACGTTCAGCTAAGAAGAACTGTAGGAAAGCATATGCTTTATATTCTCCACACCCTTGCTACATTCATCTCTGGAGCTTTCCTAAACATACCTCTCTTCTTTTTTTTTTTTTTTTTTTTTTTCCTCCTAATTAGTAGTCCTTAAGTTAAGGTGACATCCAGGTTACTCACTTCCAAGAAATTGTCTACTCTCTTGTTCCCTCCTTTAGCCTGAAAGGAAAGCAGCTACCATGTCATCAGCTTCAGCAAGGCTTGTGTCAAGTCAAGGACACGCTGCTCAGTGTCCTCAGTCACAATGATCTGCTTATTGTGAACCAAATTAAATATATTAAGTACACGGTTTTTCTAATTGGCTCTTGTGATATCCTGTTTTCTGCACCCTTGCTTTACTGCAGATATCTGTCGAGTTCATAATTTGGGACTGTAGGAGGATAACCGTATTATTACAGAACTAAAATACTTCTTAAAAATACCAAAATATAATTAATATTTTTAAAGGATAATTACATAAACAGAGATTTTCATTGAAGCCGCCGGGGTTTTTTTTTCACCTGTAAGATGGTCTTTCTAATTGGTTGTAACCTGGACAGTTTAACCAGTTTTCCTTCCAAATAACGCTCCAGGCCATGTGGTTTTAGTGTTCCTGGTTGTTGATGTTTCTTGTGGGTTGTTTCTTTGTTTTTTGCTTTGTGGAGGTTTGGTTTTGGTTCTTAAGGACGAATTTTGGGAACAAAAAGAAGAAACACGTATTTTCCGAAGAGCCAAGCGATGAATAAACGCCGCTGTTCCATGCCTGCAGGACGGTGCCGGGAGGTTTTACATAACCAGCCGCTGAAAATGCATTAATGACGACCCCCCTCGCTCAGAGTCTGACTGCTTAACTTTCCTCTCGTTTCCTTAAACACCAGCCAGGGCAGCACCAAGCCCGCAGAGCCTCCCCGTTAGCCCCGCCGTTAGCAGACACTTCGCTCCCCCCCAACACCGCCTCGCAGGCGTCCGGGCAGCCTGGCTCCCCGAGGCGGAGCGCTCCCGCCGGCGCGCCGGGAATCACGGAGGGAATCCTCGCTCCCTGCCCCGGGGCCGGGCGGGCGGAGGGAAGGGGGGGTGCCCGTGAGGGGGAAGCGGCAGTGCGCCTGCGCCGAGGGGACCCCGGCGGCCATTTTGCATCGTCAGGCGGGCGGCGAGGCCGCCGCGGCAGCTGCGCAGAGGGGCCCGGGGGAGCCGGCGGGGAGGGCGGGCGGGCGGGCGGCGCAGGGCTATGAGTTAAAGAGCCGCCGCCGCCCGGGCAGGAGCCGCCGCCGCCCTGCCGAGTTTGGGGTGTTCCTTCCCCACTTCCCCTGTCCTCCCGCCCCTCGTGCCGCCAGCCGCCCGGCCACCCCCACCCCCGCCAGCCGTGCCTGCCCCGCGGCCGCCCGCGCCATGCCGTCCGTGCCGCTGCCGCCCAAGGAGAGCAACCTCTTCAAGCGGATCTTGGTGAGCCCCCCGGCCCCGCTCCTCTCTCCTCCCGTCGCCGCTTCTCCCTCCTCCTCCTCCTCCCTGCCGCACGCTGGCCTCGCTCGGTGCCCTCTGGGTCACTGCGCTCGCCGCCGCCGGAGTTGGCCCCGGCTGAGCGAACACGGATGCGGCGGCCGCGCTCGCCCCGGGGAGGGCCGGGCTGCCGTCGGCTCCTCGTCCCGGTCCGTCCCCGCTTCCTTCCTTCCTTTGTCTGGGGCCCGCCGAGCAGGCCGGGCGAGCCCCCCCCCGCTCGTGTCGGGGGCCGGGAAGGGCTGGTGTGGCCCCCGGCCGGGCGCGGGCGGGAAGGAGGAGGGGAGCCAGCACCTCCCCGGGGCCGCCGGGCGCCTCCCGCCCCGCCCGCCGCCCGAATGCGGGGCGAGCCCGGGCTGCGCTGCCGCCCGCGGAGCGGGCAAGGAGGAGACCTCGAAGCACGGGGCGCGCGTAGCAGGGCTTTGCTGTTGCTGAGCTGATCTACATCGGTGCTTTATTTCCAGCAAGAGCGTTGGT